AAGGGCAGCGGTACTCACCAAGTTTGTAGAGAACGAAGGGAGGTGAAGACCTGACAGTGAGCCGGACAGAACCGCCGGACACGGGAGGACAGTGGAGGAACTGGCCACGACCGGGCCCCCAGAGGGGTTAGCCAGTCTGACTGGAACAGGTGCAGGAAGAGGGGTGAGAGTGGTGCTGTCACGAAAGAAACAGCGCGAGGCGCCGGAGTCCAACGTGAAACTGTGCAAGGCCTCAGCAGGCGCAGTACCAGGGGGAGTACAAGACGCACTAGCACCTAGAGCAGCAGCGGCTATACCTGGGTCAGGCGGCACACACCGATAACAGTCACCCTCAGCACTAAAAGATAAAGCATACATGGCAGAGATAATAACATCAAAGTCTAGGTCAAAAATAGCAGCTCCTGACTGAAGCAACTGCGCCCAGCGAGGGCGCTCGACGTCATCACCAAACTCAGCACGCCAGGTGTCGTCAAGGCGGGCAAAGCAGCGGCGCTCGTGTGAAACCTCCCGCATGTCCGGCCCGCACGGGCACCCGTGCGAATGACATACGGGCAGGTCTCACTACCCTCACCCGCCCCACGCTGAACCAACCACTCACGGAGCTGCTGGGGCGTATGAGCCTCGCTCGGACGCTGCTGCTGCTGGCCCCGACCACCACCAGGGCCTCCACGCTGAGGTCCAGACCGACCACCACTGGTCCCATCGCCTACACTGCCGCCACTCCCTCCGCTGCCTCCACCGCCACCACCAGAGCCTCCACCGCCGCCACCGGTCCCACCGCCGCCACCACCTCCACCGCCTCCACCTCCTCTACCGCTGCCCCCACTACCGCTCCCACTGCCACCTCCACCACCACCGCTGCCTCCTCCACTACCCCGTCCACCCTTGCCCTTGCTGTTGCGGCGCTTCGCACTAGTCGAAGCAGCACCGACGTCCTCAGGAACAGAGACGTCTGCAGCAGCAGCAGAGGCGAAGGAGGAGGAAAGGGGGGAGGGGGAGCACCCCTCAAAGAAGGGTGAGCGCGGGGTGCCACGAGCAGCACCTACAGCAACTGCACTAGTCTCAGCTGCGAGGAGATGCTGCTCGAGGAGGTCAACAGTGAGGGAAGAGGGGTCGAGGGTGAGGAAGTGGTCCCTGACTGAGCGAAGGGAGTCAGGGAGGCGAGTGACTATGAAGTAGAGGGTGATGAACATGGGAGGCTGGTTCGTGGGAAGGAACTCAGCAGGGACGGTAGCGCGGTAGCGAGCGTCGCTAGTGCGCAGGTGGGTAACCAGGTCGGCTACTGTGGCAAAAGCCGACAGCTCAGGGAACAGGTAGGGCAGTAGCAGCTTGCCAATAGCAGCAGTGGCAGGGGAGGAGTAGCGAGCAACTACAGCGTCGTACAAGGCCTGTGCTGTCCTGTGCTCGCCAAAGTGAGCACATTCGGTCGCGGGCAGGTGGTTGCGAATGGCCAAGCGGGCAGTAGCGTCACGAGACAGCCACTGGGAACGAGTCGAAACGTCAGCTGTGGCGGGAGGGGCTGGAGCAGCACCGGACACGTGGTCAAACAGTGAGACACTGTCCTTACTATCGCTCAGTAGGTAAAGTTGCAGATCGTCGTGCCACGTGTCAAATGCTACAGGTCTGCCCTCCGAGTCGAACGGGAGAACCCTAAGCGACGCCATAGTGGCAGCAGTAGCAGTAGCAAGGGGGGGGGGAGCCGAGGGGCCGAGGGGCCAAACACGAGGGCCTAGGGGCAGAGGAGCCTAGGGGGCCGAGGAGGCCAAGCCTAGGGGCCGAGGGGCCAAACAAGGGGCCGGGGGGGCCTAGGGGGCCGAGGGGCCAAACACACGGGGCCGAGGGGCAGGGCCGAGGGGCCAAACACACGGGGCCGAGGGGCGGGGCCAAGGGGCCAAACAAGGGGCCGGGGGGCCTAGGGGCCGAGGGGCCAAACAAGGGGCCGGGGGGCCTAGGGGGGGCCGAGGGGCCAAACACACGGGGCCGAGGGGCGGGGCCGAGGGGCCAGACAAGGGGCCGGGCGCAGGGCTCTGAGTTGGGGCCGAGGGGCCTAGGGGCCGAGGGGCCAAACAAGGGGCCGGGGGGCCTAGGGAGCCGAGGGGTCAAACACACGGGGCCGAAGGGCGGGGTCGAGGGGCCAAACACGGGGCCGGGCGCAGGGCTAGGTACGGGGCCGGGCGCTGGGCAGGTACGGGGCCGGGCGCTGGGCTCTGTATTGGGGCCGAGGGGCCAAACAAGGGGCCGGGGGGCCTAGGGGCCGAGGGGCCAAACAAGGGGCCGGGGGGCCTAGGGAGCCGAGGGGCCAAACACACGGGGCCGAGGGGCAGGGTCGAGGGGCCAAACACGGGGCCAGGCGCAGGGCTAGGTACGGGGCCGGGCGCTGGGCAGGTACGGGGCCGGGCGCTGGGCTCTGTATTGGGGCCGAGGGGCCAAACAAGGGGCCGGGGGGCCTAGGGGCCGAGGGGCCAAACAAGGGGCCGGGGGGCCTAGGGGCCGAGGGGCCAAACAAGGGGCCGGGGGGCCGAGGGGCCAAACAAGGGGCCAGGGGGCCTAGGGGCCGAGGGGCCAAACAAGGGGCCGGGGGGCCTAGGGGCCGAGGGGCCAAACAAGGGGCCGGGGGGGCGAGGGGCCAAACAAGGGGCTGGGGGGCCGAGGGGCCGAGGGGCCAAACAAGGGGCCGGGGGGCCTAGGGGCCGAGGGGCCAAACAAGGGGCCGGGGGGCCTAAGGGCCGAGGGGCCAAACAAGGGGCCGGGGGGGCCTAGGGGCCGAGGGGCCAAACAAGGGGCCGGGGGGGCCTAGGGGGGCCGAGGGGCCAAAGAAGGGGCCGGGCGCAGGGCTAGGTACGAGGCCGGGCGCGGGTTAGGAACGGGGCCGGGCGCTGGGCCTGAATGTGAGCCGGGAGACTGGGCCGGGCGCGGGCGTTAGGTACGGGGCCGGGCGCTGGGCTAGGAACGGGGCCTAGCGTGGGCTAGATACGGGGCCGGGCACGGGTGTCGACGGGGTGCTGGCTAGGAACAGGGCCGGGCACGGGTGTCGACAGGGCGCGGGCATAGGTACGGGCCGGTCGCGGGCGTCGACGGGGCGCGGGCTAGGAACGAGGCCTAGTGCGGGCTAGGTACGGGGCCGGGCGCGGGTGTCGACGGGGTGCTGGCTAGGTATGTGCTGGTCGCGGGCGTCGACGGGGCGCGGGCTAGGTACGGGGCCGGGCGCGGGTGTCGACGGGGCGCGGGCTAGGTACGGGGCCGGGTCGTGGGCTAGGTACGGGCCGGTCGCGAGCGTCGACAGGGCGCGGGCTAGGGACGGGGCCAGGCGCGGGTGTCGACGGGGCGATCGCGGGCTAGGTACGGGCCGGGCACGGGCGTGAGAAAGGGCCGAGCGCGGGCGCGGGCTAGGTAGGGGCCTATCGCGGGCACGGTACGGGCGGGGCGCGGGGCTAGGAACGAAGTAGCAGGTGGTGGGCCCAATAGTAACCTACTCTAATACCATGTTAGATAGTAGCGAGAATGACGAGAGAATGATTTACTAGGAAGCAAGGAAGGGTACAAGTACAATGTCGAGAGAGATTGTGTACCCCCTAAGGCTAAACCCGCCATAGCCTAGATAACTGTAAACACATGAACACATATGTTTGACACCAGTTACCGTATCACCCCGGATAGTAGCACATATGCGCTTATAATAAAATCGATTTTTTTCAAGGGAGGCGCTTATAATTGAGTTTCGGGCATAAGCGCATGCGCTTATATAATGACATACAAAATTATACTTTTAGGGTACCAAACTGTTCCTTTATTTGATGCCATTTCAAACGAGTTGAAATAATATAGCGTCACAAAGCAGAATCGTGCGCAAGCGATTCTGCTTCCTGCACACCAGCAAGTTCACCTCACTTTGCAGGCATGCCAGCACATCCTGATTGGACGCGCAGCCAGTCAGGTCTTCGCGAGTCAAACGAAGCGAAGATGAAATTTGGCTCGCTGCGAAAATGAAACTCGTTACCGTTTTAAACAGATTTATAATTTCAAAATGTACGTGCGCTTATAATAAGTAAAGGTTTTCCAGGGGGGGCGCTTATAATCGAGTTTCGGCCATAAGCGCGATGCTCCAGATAGAAGCGCCGGCGCCTTTAATCGGGCGGCGCCTATATCCGGGGCCATACGGTACCCAGCTTCTCCCTCTTCTGCGACAACCAATCTGCAATTCGCATAGCGAACAAGAGCGGGTTCGCGAACCGAACGGAGCATATTGCCCTACGCTACTTCTTCGTGAACGACGAGATCGAGAAAGGGAGACTCGAGCTATCCTACTGCCCCACGTCCGAGATGGCAGCAGATTATCTAACCAAGAAACTTGGAAAGCAGAAGTTCTAGTACTGCATGCTGCTGACTGGAGAGGACCACGTCACCAGCAACGAAGGCGATGACACTCCAGAAGCGAAGGGGAGTGTTGGAAACATTTAGTTTACGCTTCTGAAGTATCGAGCACTATAACAAAAGAGAAGCATACTCACAGCGAAGCAACACCGAGTCAACCAAAGCGGTTGACAAGGCGACAACAGGAGGTTGAAGCGAAGGTCAAAGGTCAGCGACCTTTGACTTGACAAAGGCAGCGCGATAGCAAGGACAAATAACTGACTCACTATTGAGCAGTTACTCGAGTCGTCGCAGTATCGAACCGCAACAACAGTTACAGTTAAACCTTTCGTATTCCTTGTAATCATATAAAACCTTGTATCTCTTTGCTATAATCAACACATCTTGTTCTCACATACTAGTGCAAGGTGGTTCAATTAATCCACTATTACGCTTCCGCTAAATACATCACCACTCTGAGAGTTTAGTCTTGAAACGATCCTAAGGACTTCTTCAGCCCAACATTTGGCCCTTGGGAAGAGAAGCCGTGGCACGGGCAGCAGGCAAAAGTTTCCTTTCAGCCCTGAGCATTACAACCTCCCCAGCAGCTGCTTCTAGGACAGCGCTCCGCATCCTCGATAGAGCAGCATTCAGACTGTTAGCAGATCGGCCATGCATGGCGATGCTATGGCCACTACTGGCATCACCACCACCATCACCACTAGCCAAATGACCACTGGTTTCCCCAGCATGACCAGTGGTGTCACCAGCACAACTGGTAGAAGCCCCATCGGCAGCAGCAGGAGAGCTGGTGACAGCAGCGACAGTAAGGGCCCGCCTGGCAGCGAATCCCGGAGCGGGGGTGCTGCCCTCACTGCTTCCCCTGGTGGCATGGTCGGTGCTGTCAGCAGGAGAGCCAGTGACAGCAGGCACAGTGAGTGCCTGCCTCACAGCAGACCCAGGAGCGGTGGTGCTGCTCTCGCTGCTTCCCCTCGTGGCATCGCCACCACTAGCTGTATGGCCACCCGTGTCAGCAGCAGCATGGCTGGTAGCAGCAGCACCACCAGTGACAGCAGCCACAGTGAATGCTCGCCGGGCTGCAGATCCGGGAGCAGGCCGGATGCCTTCAGGCGCCCCCTTGGCCTTGCCTGATCTCCATACCCGCACTGGTGGCGCTGCCCCCATTGCTTCCCCTGGGCTTATTGGCCTCACTGTCTTCCTTTGCCTTGCTGGCCTTATTTTATTGGTTGGCCTGACAGGATTATTTATTCGCCTTAATGGATGGATCTGCCCCATTGCTCCCGCTGGCTGTGCTGCTCCCAGCGGTCGTGAGGGCCTGGGGGGAAGGCCGTGGCGCTGTGTGTTATGCAGGGTGGGGTGTGGGTGAATGGGCGCTGTCTTGGCAGCACCACAAGGAGCAGGAGCAGGAGGAGAAGAAAATGGGGCAGCAGAAATAAAAGTAGCTCCTGCAGTACCCACAGCACCAGCAGGAGCAGCAGCAGCAGCAGCAGCAGTAGAAGCATGGCCAAGCCCATTGGCTCTCTGACTGCTGCCAAGAGCCTCCTGCCACAGGTCTGCCACGTCACAGTCCACGTAGAGATCCTGCCAGCTCAGCGCATCCATGGTGCCGAGATAAGCACTCGGCTTGGCGAGATAAGCACAGTCTGGCTGCACACTGTGCGGTCCGGCCTGCTGTCTATTCTCCCCTTCCTCCTCCACCCCTTGAGTCAACTGCAACTGGTCTCTAATCCGCTCCTCCTCTCTAATCCGCCCCTCCTCTCTAATCCGCATTTCCTCTCTATGCCGCACCTCCTCTCTAACCCACCCCTCCCCTCTATTCCGCCCCTCCTCTCTACTCCGCACCTCCTCCTGTCCAGCCCGTCTTTCCACGGCCTCTGCAATCAGCCGCAGCTGCTCTCGAATCCTCCCCTCCTCTATACCACTCACGGCACGGCTTGGCACACTCACAGCACCCACTTGCATTTCATCTTCTCCCCGCGCCACATCTGCTGCCTCTCTGCTCTCTTGCTCCTCCGCTGCCATTTCCTCCCTCCCTCGCACCCTCTCCTCTGCCCGCTCTGCCCTTTCTTCCAGCTCTTCTCTTTCTGCCCGCTCTGCCCTTTCTGCCCGCGCTGCCTGCTCAGAGCGCTCCGACTGTGCTGACGCTTCGTCCGCCTGTCTCCTTAAACCCTTCCTGTCCTGTGCCTCAACTTCCCTGCGCTCCTCCTGCCCCTCCCGTCCTGTCTCACACCTCGCCTCCGCCCCATCGCACAGCACCATTCCCTTGTGCACCAGCACGGGCGGCAACAGGCCGGGCGGCACTCTACCGACGTTGCTTCCCCCCGTCTCTGAACCTTCTCTGCCCGCAGGAAGTGTTGCTCCCTCTGCCGTGCTCCTCCGCACCATTCGCCCCAGCGCTGCTCCCCCCGCCACCCGCGCAGCTGCCTTCCGCCCACCCGCCGCGCCTCTCGTTGACAATTTCCCACCCGCACTTCTCGAAACCCTCCTGCGAATTACGGGGGTTGCGAAGCAAGTTACCCTAACTTCGACAGGCTTGCACGTGACGACGTCGCCATCCTCCTCATCCTCGTCGCCAGCGTCGCACGCTCGTCCTCCTGGTTCCCTTGCCCTTCCCCTCCAGCCATTCACCGCCTCTCTCGCCAATAGTGTTCTCCCATCCATAGAGTCCCATTCCCCCAGTGCTGCTCCGATCACCCCTCCGCGAAACCCGTCGACCGGCAACGCGAGAACCACGTCATCATCCTCTTCCCCAGCCTCCCCTTCTTCCCCATCATCCTGTTTTCCCTCCCCCTCCTCCCCCATCTCCGCCTTCGCCGCTCTCACCAGCCCCACCGCCCTCCCCCCTGCGCAAGTCACTGTTCTGCATGTGCCCGACCGTGGTTGGCGCGAGGCGCACGTGGTTATTGACGCCGGCCGGCCGGCAGGGTTGACTGGCCGGCAGTGAGTAACGGCTGCGGCGGAGTCCTCTCGCGGCCGGAGAGACGGAATAATGCCGGAACGCGTAGTCAGTGCGCTTCGTTCCTCGTCATCCACCTGACGGAGAAGGCCGACTGCGCCGCTGCTCTCATGCCTGCTACTGCAGCTTGCATTATCACGGGTTATTGTGATCTTCCCTTCGCTCTGCGCTCTTTCCGCGAGGGCGGAACCAGCAGGGCTTAGACGACTACTATTCCCCCCCGTACTACTAGCAGCAGCAGCGGAATGACTAGAGCGGCCAGGGGTGGAGCCTGCGCGCAGAACGTTGACAGGCGGCGGGGTCAGCGCAGCAACTACCGCGACGGCGCAGATTGTAGGAGATGCATTGGTGGGCGCGCGATGGCCTCCCCCGTTCCCCGGCTGCTGGCCTCCCCCGTTTCCCGGCAACTGGTATCGGCGGATCCCCGGGCACAGAGATTGCAGGTCCGACTGACGCGCCGCGTTTTCCGCTTCGACCCGCCGGCCCCTGTGCCGCAGCACGTACTGTGACACATCCACGTCCGCAAAAACCGGCAGTCGTGGCGCATTAGGAGGTAGTATCACACTGGAAGTCAGCGACGCGGCTTTAAGTACGGCATCATGAGCGTTCTTCCCCGCCGTGTGAGGGGACTGCACGCTACTACCGCGCATCGTCAACTCGTCGGGACATCGGGAATACCGTACGCTATCCTCTGGACCTCGCGAGTCGCCATTTACGGGCGCTGCGGCACCGGCCAGCCGCTTATGGATAGTCCCGGCGACGACGCGGGGAGCTTCATCACCGTAATTTGTGATGCAGCGATCCGTGGCGATGCGGCGGGAAAATATTAGAAACGGTGACTCGGGAAACCTTGCGTCGCTTCTAACCAGCGCGGCCTGCCATTTATCAGTCGCGGCAAATCGAAGAGCATCCCCCTCGCTGCCATTTGCACCTTCATCGTACCTAGCACCAGCGGGTGCCGCGGAACGCAGGGGCGCTACTCTCGCCCCCCCAATCATCGCAATTTGGGCCTCGAGCTTCAAAGCTATGGCACTCGGTGTTTCCTGCTCGCAATCAGTCGTACTCTGTGGAACATGACAGCTCGCGCCCTTGCAAGAACCGAAGCCATTTTTGCTTCTTGCTGTCTATGGAGACAGCTGCCGTTTTCACTCTGTGACTAATCGTGTTATTGAGTCTAAGGAGAGTGATCCTGGACGAGAGGACGATGTAGAGTCAAATTAGGTGAAATACCACGTGATGTTAGCAATGCAAAGTAAGTTCCTGTCGCATTTCGTCTACAATACGAAACAATTTCTGATTGGATGCAAAATGCAGCGCCTTGACTCCAGTGGAAAGGACGCGTCGCGATCACTTTGGCCTCCCTGGATTGAATCCCGTTCGTACATTTCACAATCTCACCCAAGGACGGGCCGCGTCTCGTTCAACTGTAGCTATATGTCAAGAGGGGCACTAGATCATTTTCCTCAGCACGTTCAAACAACGACCTTTTCTTGCTCTTCGTGTTCCCTTTCCGTACAGGCATCCGTTATAGGTTGTTGCACACACGTACAGATTATACATCAACACCAAACTCCATCAGCAATAATCAATTCATCAAGATTGTAGGAAAGTGTCGTTGTTTCTTCTTACACATCTACACTAGGAAATTTGCTCTTGCTGGTCCGCGGTCCGCTCAATTTCCCATATTTCGCCAACGTGCCAATACAGCAGTCGCATCTGCAGTTTCAAGGTCCGCGAACATTTGGATGCGAAAACCGCGCCTTTCACAGCTCATTTTTTGGCTCGCATTGTCAATTTTCCAGCCACCCCCGTTCTATAACACCAAGCCATGGGCTCGAGCTAGTAGCCCCCATGGATCATCCTTCGAGCATGAAGAGACAAGATATTGCACTTCAATTTTCACAGAACTTCCTACGTAGAAGCAAATCGATTAGCGCCTCACGTTCACAACCAGTCTACAAATCCGAACTAGGAGTATTCTCCTCGCGATTCATTCCACGTTTCCCAGTCAGGCTGAGCCCTAGATCGAGCCTCACTTCAGCTTCGCCTTCTTCTCCGCGGCCCTCCCACGCAGACCCAGTGTTGAGTTTCGAACCTGGCAGAAGCCGCGCCGCATAGGCCGCCTTGAAGGGCGAATCAGTATTGCTAGCCGCTGCCGCGAATTGTGGGCTTCTCGCGACCACAGAAGGCCAATCTTCCCCCTCGGTATGCGATCTGAACAGCCACGAAGGGGACGGTTGGGCAGGCGGAGCGTCAGTAGCGTCACGAGTCCTGCATACGTTAAAACAATAAACAAATAAAAAATCGTGCGCAAAAAAAAAGAACTTACAACGAACGCCGAACAGGATTATACGGAGGACCTACGCAGTCTCAACGAGCACTCCCTGAAATTGGGATTCCGTGAAATCTCACCGCGGAAGCCTGCTGAGCTCTTGCGATACAGAGGACGGAAGACATGGATTGAACCGAGGGCCCATTCGCGCGTGTGGCGCGGCAGTCACGACGCCCGCCGTGAGCCGCGCGTCTGGCGCGGCGTCGACCACGCCCGTGAGAATGTCCAGGTTATGAGCCTCCGCACCCGCTCCCAACGGCGAAATTGGAACATCATCCACTCCCGACGGACACATTCGAGCAACCGCTCCCAATGGCGACATTCGAGATTCCGATCCCTGTGCTCGCACTCGCGCATCGCCGCCCAATGGCGACATTCGTGAGTCTCCGCCAGATGCGGCAGCGCGGATGACGGGCTCAGGCCCGTCTCTAGCCGCCGCAGCCGTTAAGTCTGACGGGGTGGGGAGCAACGCGACTGCATCTCGGTGGACTGCAGCAGATAACCCCGACTGGGCCGCCGTCAACTGTTCCGTCAGCAAACGGATTCCGTCAAGTCCGCTTACTCTAGCTAGGGCGAGGAGAGAAGCCTCTAGTAGGCGCTGGCTGGCGCCGGGACTCGCTGGGATTGGCGGACCTAGTCGCGACGAATTGTTAGCACTACCAGCAATGGCGGAATGAGTGGAACTAATATCCCACAAGCCGGGAGGAGCTGTGACCCTCTCCGCAGGCCCTTCTAGCGCCGCACCCGCGCTACCACTGCCCGCAGCGACACCATTAGATGAAGGAGCAAACGCGCTCAGGGTGAAAGGAGAGTCGCGACCAAGCAAGACTGGGGGGCTCAGGGTGCTGGTGACTGCAGTGCCACTGGTGGTAAAATTGGAAGCATTAACGCTGCTTATTTCGCGGTCATGGAACGAAAAGCTCCCGCCTGTTTCGCGGGCATGCGCCGCGCCTGTCTCTCCGTCGTGCGCTGCTACTCGCTGGGTCGCGAAGCTCGCGCCGCCCAAGCGCGCTGCGAGGGAGGTAAGGGCGGACGGGAGCAGGCCTTGTGTGCTCGGCGCGCTGTGGTGCGCCAACAACTCTGCGTTCTGCGCGGGACTTTGCACGACACGAAACGCCGTTTCCGAGTCCGAACCCTTTCGCTGCTGTTGTCGCGGGAGCGGCGGCGGCGGCTGCTGCTGCTGCCGCAAAAAAACCTCTTCCCCAATAGAAAATCCGTAATTTCCGCGTGGAATAATCTCATCGTTCGATTTTCCTCGTGAGGGAGCAACGGCAGCATCATCGGCTCGCGTTCGCTTCCTCTCCGCCATCCTAATATCTGTGCAATCGCAGCCGTTGGGTGGGCCCTCCGCGCTTTTTCCGCTGGGCTCCACGACGTGCCGCTGCGCCGCAGTTTGCGCCGCCATTTGTGATGCCGAACTCAACGCGGCCTGGATAGCGGGGCTCGCCCGAGTCAGCAGCCACTGCACGGGAAAAAGAGGATAACAGCATGATAGGATAGCATGATTCGCGCGGTACTAAACTCGAGGGCCAGGTGGAAGAACACAACAGCAAGAAGGCGATCGTCTTCCCATAAAGCCGTCATGATATTCAGTTACTGAGAAGCCACGCAGTCTAATTATTGTCGTTATCGTCGCCAAGCAGCACTATCCGCGCCGCGGTCTTACCGACCGATGGCCGGCAGCGGGTTTAATACCTGAATCGTCTCGCCGTCCGACCGATGGCCGAGAGCCCGCGTCAGGCGGAAGATCTTCGCGGCGCACGCCGCGGGCATGCGGATGCGCCGTCCGCGCCCGTCCACCTTCCGGTGCCTGTCCTTCCGCCTCGCCTCCATTTCCCCCTTTCCCCCCTCCTCCGCCGCCTCCTCCGCACCTCCGTCTTCCCACCCCAACGATTCCGCGACTCTTCCCCCCTCCGCGTCCGCAATTGACACGTGCGCGGGCTCGCCTTGCGCCATCAGCGCAAGCCTGGCGGCGGCATTAGTGTCGTCGCAATTCGTACCATTCACTCCCCTATTGAAGCCTCCGCCAAACCGCTCGCTGCCGTTGCTGTCTCCAGAAGCACACCCCGCCGTCGCACTTGGTGATATCAAATGAGATCGTGGAGGATCCCCTTCTTTTCCGCCGTTCCAATCGTCGGAAGGGAGGCGAGAGTCGCCGCCAGATGCGGGCTGGTCCAGACAACCCACGGGCCAAGGGCTTGTGCTTATATTGAGTAAACAAGGGGCAGCGACGGCTTCTAACGAGGAACGGCTGCTTCTGCCATCACGCGATGACGCGGAGTGAAAAGCGACGCAACGCCTTTTCGCTGAAATTGAAATGTCGTCCATTTTTAGAGCTTCTATTGAGGAGGTGTCTCTCGGAAGAAAAATATGAAATTGCGGTGACATTCTATCGAGTTGCCCTTTGCCTGATATGCTTCTCGTAATATAATTTCCCGGTTTCAGTCCTGTGCTAGACGATTACGAGCTACTCCTGCATAAATCTATGGCGGACGAGGCTGGAAGATGAGGTAAAATTGTGAAGCAGCAAATGCAGTGAGGATGATGATAATGCTGATAATGCCGCTCGTTCCAGACTGGCCCTCGAACACAGACACACATTCCGCACACTCCGCACACTGCCGATGTGTTGCAGTTGCAGCCGCGGCTGCGGATGGTCACTTCGGGCTGCGTCGAAGTGATACCTGTTTGGTTTGGAAGTGTCAGTTTGATCACAGCTGAACATGAGGCAGAATGGGGGGGAGAGGGAATGGGAAAGGGAATCCCTATGTCAGAATTGGCGGGAGTGGTGGGTGGGGATTTGGGAATGGAAAAATATGTGACCAGGAGAAATTACCCTCGGCAAAAACCCCCCTTGACGGGATGGGGGTTGGAGTTGGATTTCAGCTGGAAAGGGAAAAGGTTACAAAATCCAGAAGAAAAGCGAAGGATTGGATTCGAGGAGTGCGGGCGGGCCCCCTCACTCATCTACCTCGCTGCAACCTCCGGGGAGAGATCGCGGGGAAATTGTGGACAAGCGGAAGAGACTAGTGGACGCGATGACTGGCATGGCATGGCGTGCCGTGATGTTGCGTCCAGGCGCAGACGACGCTGGGCGGAGGGGGCTGGGGGTGAGTTGATGAGGACGATGCGCAGATTGGGGGAAGGATGGAAGAGGAGGAACTGGAGGAGGGAAAGGTTGGGGGCCGGGCGGGGGTAGGAAAGGAAGGGGAAGTGTGCGCGTGCAAGCAAGGAGGAACCTTCGCTTCACACGAGCAGCGCGGAAAGCAGTGTGAGCAAGATTGCTCCGCTCCGCTGGCGAGTGGCCACCCACTCGTGCACGGGGCCGCGGGTTTGGGTTGCATCATACACCCTGTTTCTCGCTACACTGACCCGCGCGTAACTGGCAGGCTGGCCTTGTCCTATTAGATTTGCCCAAATAAACCATACCAAAACCTAAATCAACCAGCCTCAACCGAGATTTTTTCACTCTGGAAGTCAGTATAGCGGACGTCAGTATGGCGAGAAAGAGGGTGTAGAAAGAGTGCATCGCAGAGCGGCGCGAAGTGCAACCACCGCGGCTCAACGACGGAATGTGGTTGGTCAGAAATAGCCGAGGAAGGGCCCACCACCACCACACCAACACCAGGCTGGGGCATCTTGGCATGGCGGAGGAGGATGTTTCGAAATGCTTCTGTGCAGTGCACGCCCCCAATCCAACCCAACCCCAAGCAGCTACACCCTGTTCTCGATAATTTCACGGCCTTGATGCCGAGTCGCGTCTACGTTCCGCGCGGGCGAGGTGTGAAATTAAAGGGGAAAAAGCCGCGCGGTAATTTCACACGCCAGATTACTGGACTTGGATGCTGACTGTAAAGTGCGAGTGTACAGCGCGCGCCAGCCTGGAAAATGCCCCACTCAAGACATCCTCACTGGAAAATGCCCCACTCGAAAAATTGTTTCATTCTCACATTGCACCAATCACGCTTCATCTTATTTGTGGGAGGAGAAGTTCCTTCCCCTTGCTCAGCTTTCGGACTCGACAGATTCACCCCCCCAACACACTTAGGTCCGAAAAGCGTTCCTGCTTCCAAGGAGGCTGGAACACCACCAACCGCTGCCACCTAGGCATGGTCGTCAGGTCGCTGGCGATCCCGAGTCGCGCTGTGCGTTTAACCCCTGTGAAATAATCGAGAACAAGGTGTAGAGGGAGAGGCATCCGCAATAAAAAGGGGATGCTGCACGTGGATATGACAGTTTGACTTCAACCAGGGCAGGAAGGAAAAGCAATAGCCATGTATGTATACAATGTTTGGTTGCTGTGAGGCGGCGTCTTTCCAAGGGCATTACTGACCGTCTAAACATAGTCGATGAGTCAGTACAGTTCTAGATGCCCGATAACAGTTCTGTCATTTCCCTCACACGCTTGATGTGCTTCGCTGTACAGCCCCTTCATGATTCAAATGGTGATGCTCGATGTCGCATTTTCCAGCTGGCGCACGCCGATCAAAAAATGAGAAATCTGTTGCGCGCATGTGGGCCATGGCGTAGGAAAGGACATTGTGGGCCACTGGTGCTTCCGCGGCTGGTGGCGCTCCGGTACAGCTCAAGGTGAAACAATTTATGCGAGTTGGACAACCGCTTGGAAACTTCAATAAAAAAACGAGATTATGTAAGTCCCTTACCATCCCCAAGGAACTTCGACAGAGGCACATAAATGAAGTTAATCGACATCCCCTAACTCCACAAATTTCCCTCGTCTGCCCGGAAAGTATCCTCAGACCTAAGCTTTCACTTCGTGCCACACTGCTGCAAGTCAATGGCTGCCTGCCTGCCTACGAAGGCTACTGACGAAGGGCTGACATGTGGCATAGTCCACAACAAGGGAACAAAAACCATAAATGCGAGAAATGTTGCCTCCTGATAATGTTCCCTCAGGTTAAAAGCCTACTGTCCTAATTTTGTTATCTAATAAATTGTCACACCAGCCATATCGAGTGGTTGTGAAACACAGAAACAAAAGGGATTATGATAAGCAATCTACATTCTCAATCGTCGCCTTTCTGAGACATCAAATATATCTGCATGCATGACAAAATAAGCAGGCAATGAAGGCATTACAAAGGCGAATTACGGGAACACAAGAACAAAGAAAAAAAAAAACACTGCAGGGACAAAGGTGTACAGCCACCTATTGAATGTCTTGCAACCCAGACTCACTGCTGGCCCTCAAACATGCAGCAGCAGCAGAAGCAACAATTCCCCAACTCCCCTGCAGTTGCCTAGACAACACCAGAAACCCACGCTTACCTGCAATGTGCCAAAAATCCTCCTAATTTCCAGCCCAGCAGAGATCAACCCTTGCCAGCTCCCCCTTTTCCAGTTCCTCCCCCAAGCGCTCCCGCTCCCCCCTCCTGTCTGAGAGACCGAGGCAGCGCCCCTCCCGTCGCATTAATCACCTCCCGAGGCCGTTCCGAACCTCGTCCTGGTACACCCGGACCTCCTCCCGGACCACCTCCCAAGCCTCCCACCGAGCCTCTGCCACGCCCGCCCCAGACAATCCCACCCCTCACACCCCTCCCCATTCCCACCCCTCCTTGCGAAGGCGCATCGCGAATGCGAGCAGAGACAGATGCTGACGAGGCGGCAGCACCAGAAGCAGCAGCAGCAGCGGCGGCAGCCGCAGCAGTAACAGCAACAGCAGCTGCGGCTCCAGCACTCGTGCTGCTCACACCAGACCCACCAGCGGGAATAACAGGCCCGGCAGCACTAGCTGCTGCCGAGCCAGGAGGAGCAGGGCCAGGACCGGCCGAGCCTGGTCTAGGCTGGGTGGCAGGCTTGGCAGGAGACGCAACAGCTGCTGTTGCCGCTGCAGCTGGTTGCAGCGCTGCCGTTGCTTTCACACCAGTGGGCACCCCAGTTGGACCCGCAATGCCCCATCCAGTTGCCTTCACACCAGCTGCCACACCACCAGCACCAGGCTCTGGCTTCGTCCCAGCAGTTGATGTGCCCGGTGCAGCCGCAGTGATACCTGTGCTCACTCCACTCGCCCCGCTCACACTGCCACCAGAGGGTGCAGCAGCAGCTACAGAAGTGGCACCCGAAGGGAAACCTGAAGGAGCACCTGAAGGAGCACCTGAAGAGGATGGACGAGGGGGAGCAGGACCAGATGCAGCAGCAGCAGCAGCAGCAGCCCAACTGGTCGCAGCCTTCCCTGAATCTACCTTACCTCCCATTCCCCCACCCCCACCCCCACCCACCTCCCCTCCATTACTTCCTCCCTGACTAGTTCCCCTCCCCCCTGACCCTCCTCGCCTTCCCCCATGCCTCCGCCCACCCCCTCCTTGGCCTCCCGTGCTTGCTGCTCCACTTACCGACCCCCCAGCAGCACTGCCTCCCCCCTCCACGCGTCCTCCAGTGCCCTTCCCCCCTCCTCCTCCTCCTCCTCCTCCTCCCCCTCCTGCTGCTCCTGCTCCTGCTCCTCCTCCACCCCCTGATCCTCTTGCCCCTGCTCCTCCGCCCCCTCCCCCCACTGCTGCAGAACCTTCTGCGCCTCCGGCACCCCCACGACCTCCTCTCACCCCTCCACGCCCTCCTCCCCTCGCTCCTCCCTTCCCTTGCGATCCATCACCCTTTGCCCCTCCTCCTGCTGCTGCTCCTCCTATGCCTCCTCCTCCTCCTGCTCCTCCTGCCTGCTTCTCAGAGTCTCCACCAGCACCGGCCCTCTGCCCCTTGGACCCTGAGAACCCAGCTGCAGCACCAGAAGCAGAAGCAGAAGCAGAAGCAGCAGTGCTGGTGCTCGCGTCAGCAGCAGCAGGAGCAGCGGGGGAAGGCGTGGACGGAACAGCAGTACTAACAGCAGAAGCAGGCGCAGCAGCTGGAGCAGGCCCATTAGGAGCAGCACTTCCAGCACTACCGATAACACCGGCGCCACCAGCACTACCTACACCACCAGCGCCAGCAGCAGGGGCGCCAGCAGCGGATGCAACCTTGGTAGCTCCCTTGGGGACGTACCTCTCCATCTCAGCGCGGCGCTGGCGGGCAGGGGCAGCTGACGTGGACCAGCCAGCCTGGACTGGAGCTGAGCTGGCAGAAGCTGACGTGGCAGCAGCTGAGGGTGGCGATGTAGTGAGCAGTGGAAGAGCTTGAGAGGGCTGAGATGCTGCAGATGCTGCTGGGGGTGATGGTGTTGGTGGTGCCACTACAGTTCCTGCAGTTGCTGGTGCTGACGTGGTCATGGGAGTCAGTTGCTGCGGTGGTTGCTGCTGCAGCTGCTGTTGTTGCAGTTGCTGTTGCTGCTGCTGCTGTTGCTGCAGCTGCTGTTGTTGCAGTTGCTGTTGCTGCTGCTGCTGTTGCTGCAGTTGCTGTTGCTGCTGTAACTGCTGCTGCTGCTGCTGCAGATGCTGCGACGCGAAACCCAAGGGCATATGCATTGCCATACCCAAGTGCATATGCATCGGCACATGCATGGGCATGTGCATGGGCATGGGCATGGACATCTGCATAGCTCCCGTATGGCCAGCAGGAGGGGTGATATGAATCAGCCCCTCTCTCGGCCGTCCCCATGCGTTCATAAGCATACCAGGAGGACCCATACCGCCTACCACTGCGGCATGACCCCCCTGTGAGCCTGCCACCGCTGTTGCCGCCACCGCCGCCGCTGCCGCTGCTGCTGTAGCTCCTGCTCCAGCCGCTGTTGCTGCCGATGCTCCCTGTGCGGCTGCTGCTGCTGATGCTGGTGCAGTGGCAGCAGCAGGGCCCCCGCTCACAATAGCAGCAACACTGTCAGGCGGCCCCTGCCATGCGCCCCGCTCACCACCACCTGCTGCTACCCCACCCACTGCCACCCTTGCTGCTGCCCCTCCTGCAGCTGCCGCACCCACTGTGTTTCCACCAGCGGGGATTCCTACACCTGACCCTCCAGCACCCGCTCCTGCACTCACTCCTGCTGCTCCCACACTCCCTGCTGCTCCCGCGCCCCCTGCTGCCACAGCCCCTGCCGACCCCTCGCCCGCTCCTGCACCACCAACGCCACCCCCTGCCTCCCTGACCTCCCTCCCTGCAGCAGCTCCCCCTTCCCGGCTACCAGTGCCCCCTCTCATGCCCGAGAGGGCTACCTTGGCAGCAGCGGCAGCGGCAGCAGCGGCCGCTGCAGACCTCTGCTGGTCGCTCTCTGACCGCCCTTTCTCCTGCTGCCCGTGCTGCTGCCCGTGCTGCTGCCCGTGCTGCCCTTGTTGCGGTTGTTGCCCCTGCGCCCGCACACCCCTCTGCTGCCGCGGCCCCTGCCCCTGCCCCTGAGCTTGCCCCTGTTCCTGCCCGTGTCCCGAACTCTGGGCCTGCTGCTGCTGCTGCTGCTGCTGCTGCTGCTGCTGCTGCTGCTGCTGCTGCTGCTGCTGCTGCTGCTGCTGTGGCTGTGGCTGCTGTTGACGATGCTGCTGCTGCTGCACCTGCTGCTGCTGTGACGTACCAGCCATTTGATCCCCACCGCCACCACCTCCTCCTCCCAATACTCCACCACCACCGCCAGCACTCCCACCACCCCCACCCCCAGAAACACCACCAGATGCATCCCCCTCAACCGCCCCCTCTCCTCCCCCCGCTTCACCTTCCGCCCCTCCTTTCCCCCTTCCGCCCTTTCTCCTCTGCCCTCCCCGCTTCCTCCCCCTCCCTCTATTCCCCCCACCTGCTCCTTCCCCAACCTCCCCCTTATCTCCTGCACTCGTGTCATTAGGTACGAGAGCAGGGGCAACAGGTCCGGTAACCAAGTTAGCAGCAGTGGGGGGTGGAGGCCCGGAATGAGGCCCGTAAGGCGCATGTGGTTCGGCAACTGATGCTGGTGCTGGATGCAGCACTGTGTGCTGCTGAGGGAGAGTGGATACCACTGCAGGTGACGAATAGGGGAAAAGACAAAGGGTGAAGCAATAAGATATTCTTTTAACAGTGTGAGTGGGGAAACGAGAATGGGATCGGGAAACGAGAAAGTGGTGGGGGAATGAGAAAGGAGTTGGGAGATTGAGAAACGAGAGCCCCAGAGTGGAGTGCTTCTTGTGTCGGAACCACTTGTTCTCAATCCAAACGCTGTACTTCTCATGCTACTTCAATGCACGTGCTTTCTTATGCATCATGTTTCCTTCAATGCACATGCTTACTAAGACGCATATCCTCCACTGGATTCCCCTTTCTCACCTTCTTTTCTTGAGCTTCCAGCAGAGCCAACGCTTCCTGCCTCCACATATCCTCCACTAGACACCACTCCACCGTTTCCCACTCCTCCTTCTGCTGCTCCTCTTCCTGCCCCGCCTTGACCTGCCATCTCCCCGCCCCATCCCGTCCCCGCCCCTCCCTTGGCCCTCTCATTCACAGATACGGCCTGTCCAGGTGCCACCTGCCCCCCAGCTGCTCCTTCCCCTGATCCCCCCGGTCCCCCATGTCCCCCCGGTGCCCCAGGCCCCCCCCACGCCCCTGGCGCAGGCATCCCCGCGAGGAAATTAGCGGGCCCTCCCGCGGGTAGCGCAAGCAGGCTGTCTTTGGCGCCTTGCGCGTGGGGCGCATAGGGATGGGCGTGCGGATGCGCGCCGGGGGGAGGTTGGTGCGGGGGCGCATGGCCTGGCGGAAGCAGGTGCAGAGGCAGCACCTGCTGTCCGGGGAGCAAGGACGGGGGGCGCGCGCCAGGGGGAGCGTTCGGGGGCATGTTGGACGGAAGGTTAGGCGGAAGATTGTGCTGCATGGGGAAGGGCGGGTGGGGGAAGAACTGCGGATGGCGCATCCCGTGGGAAGGCCCGACAGGGGCGAGGAACTGGGGGATTGGGGGACCCATGATAATCCGCGGAACGGATGTAGGCGCGGGGAGTAGCGGCTCCGCCTTAACGTTTCCACCTGCGGCTGCTGCTGCTGCTCCTCCTCCTCCTCCACCTCCTCCTGCCACACCTCCTACTGACCCTTCCGAGGAGTTTTGTGCGAGGCCTGGAGCAGCAGAGCTAGCAGCTGCCCCTGCATTCGAAGATTCCGGTCCAGTTCCCTGCCCTGGCACTCCACCTGCCATACTCGCCCCGGTACCCACCTGCCCGACCTGCCCCGAAACCCCTCTCTGCTGCCCCTGCTCTTCTCTCTCCGCCACTCTACCAACCGCCCCCCTCCGGCCCTGCACAGGCCCCTCCCTTCCGCCCATTCCTCTGCCCGCGCCCCCATCCCCCCTGCCCTGAGCCTCCCCCTGCTGCCGCGCGGGGGTCCACCGCCCGTCCGCCTCCCCCGCCCCCCTCAGCCTGCCTTGCTCTCTTCCGCGCCCGCGGCCCCGCCCCGCCCCACCTCCGCCAGCGGCAGCAAATCCACTCCCCGGACCCTGGTCCTGCGCGCCTGGCGCGGGTGCTGAGACTGACGGGCGTGGGGAAACGGGTACACCTGCAGCAGCAGCAGCTGGCAAAGCCTCTGGCTGCTGCTGCGGAGCAGACGCTCCAGCCGCTGCGGCCGCAGCAGCAGCGGCAGAAGCAGCAACAGCAGTAGCAGCAGCGGCTGCTGCGGCGGCGGCGGCAACGTTCGTATCAGCTCGTGCAGCCCCTGCTATCGGCACTGATTCCGCCACTTGCGCCACTCGAGACGCTGCTTGCGCATCCCCCCGTGAACCTTCCGCAGATGCTCCCTGCGCTTGCAGAGGCGCTGTACTCGCCGCCTGCGGACCTGCCTGGATCGGCTTTACTGCCACTGTCTGCCCTGCCCCCGCCGCGGAACCTCCCTCACCAGCACTGCCACTAGGCGCCGCAGTACCAGCAGAAGGGCCCATGGCAGGCGCGGCAGCAGGCGCGGAACCAGATGCGGCAGCCGCGGAACCAGCAGGCGCGGAACCAGGTGCAGCACGGGGATCAGGAGCGGGAGAGGCCCTCCTTTGAGGTACCTCCCGCGGCGACCGCAGGGGGCCTCGGCTGAACGGCCGCGGGCTCTTAACGAGGACCTCCCTCCCCAGCCCTGCGATCGGACCAGTCACACCCGCTACATGCCCACCTGCTGCTGCCTCCGCAGATGGCACTGGCCCAGATGCGACCTGCCCAGATGCGACCTGCGCAGCCACCCCTGCACTCCCACTGCCCGCACTAACCCCTTGCGCCACCCCCTCTCCGCCAGGCGCCCCACCTTCCGGCCGCTTAAGAATGCGCACCTGCTCTGGCTGCGTTCTTCCAGCGCTTTCCGCGCCCCTTCCAGTTTCCCGCCCCCCATGTTCCCCCTTCCCTCCATCTGCCCCGCGCGGGGTCCCCTCCGGTGCTCTACCCAGAAACGGGTCATCCTCAAACGCGGGTTTTGAAAAGTCCATGGCTTCGCTCTCTGCAGAGGCCCAGTCGATCCCAATGTGGTGATCCTTGTGGTATGGTCGATGCGGCTGCGAAGCTTGCTGCTGTTGCGATTGTGACTGCTGCTGCTGCGACTGTGACTGCTGCTGTTGCTGCTGCTGCTGCTGCTGAGACTGCTCCTGGCCCTTCCGCTGCCCTTCGCTACCGTCTTGCGCCTCCCCGGATTCCCCTCCCCTCCGCTTCCCCTCGTCCACCGCCCCTGGAGCAGATGCTTGCCCCTGCCATCCATCCCCTGCACCAATTTCCCCGCGCGGACAGTACGGCTCCAGAGGCGGACGGCCATGCCCGCGCCCCGCATGCTCCCGCGCCATGCCCCCGCGCCCGTCAAACCCTTGCGGGCCTCCCCGCCCCGCGCCCATAAACTCGTGCGCGCCCATGGGGCGGAAAGGCGGGCGGCCCTGTCCCAGCGGCGCATGGAAATGGTCAAACGGCGGCGGAGGGGGGAACATTCCAGGGGGCATGTCAAACTGCGAACCTGCGCCTCTCCCTTGTGGACCATGCGGAATCCCCCCGCCCGGCCCATGCCCCGGGCCATACCGCGCGCCAAACCTCCCCCCTCCCCGCGGATCCATATGCATGCCGTAGCCGTGCGGGGGCATCATCCCCGGGCGCATGGGCCCGTCGTACATTGCCCCAGGCGGAGGGCCGCCCCGCCCCCCCCCGTGCGCAAACCCGAACTCCGGGCCTTCTGGTCCGCGGTACATTGGGTGTCCCCCGCCACGCCCATACCCCATTGGCGGGGCCATCCCTGGCGGCCCCCGCCAGTTCTCCCCCGGCCCTCCCCCTCCTGCTGCACCACCCGCGCCTGGTCCTGTTCCTGCTGGTCCCCCCGCGCGCCAGTTTTCACTCTCCGGACCCCTCTCCCGCCACATTTCCGCCCCCGCGGCCGCACCCGGCGGAGGCGGGGACCTCCCAACACCAACCTCACCCCTCCGCCACGACGCCCCCGCTCCTCCGCCTCCACCTCCGCCACCCCCGTCCCCACCGCTCCCACCAGATCCATGACGCCACGTGTCACCATCAGGGCCGCCGCGGTGCCACGTGTCCCCAGGAGGGGGAGGCATACGGTCCGCCCTGTGCGCGGGCCAGAGGCCGTGCGGGGGGGGATCCTCAAAGCCTCCGCCCCCCGCGCCGGGGGGGTGCGGATGCCAGCGCGCAGGCATCATCTGCTCTGGTCCCGCGCCAGGCCTGCGCCCCATGCCTTGGTCCCATCCCATGGGCCCTGCGCGCAGGCAAACAGGACGATCAGCATGCGACACACAACAGTGAAAAAAGCCGCGTTTCAGCACGTCAAGGTCCATTCCTTAACTTCTAAAAATAACCACTCGCAAGCGCTAGAAGTGTTCATGTTTCCGCGTTATAGCTTCCTTCGTTTGCATGAAAGCTTCTTGGACTTTCACGCACGTTGTGACAGGTTCACTGGTTCACTTGCAGCTAGACATTAACCCCTCCCTGCCCCCCCCCACCCCCTCAACCCTTCCCAGTGCCCACAAACCCCCTCCCATCAACCCCTTCCAAAGCAACACGCACCTTCACCACGCTGCCCGTGCTCTCCGTGCTCCTGCCCGTCGTCCCTCCCTCGGTAATACCCCGCGTCGTCCTGCTCACTCGGATGACGCGAGCCCTCTTGCTGTCCCTGTTGCTGCTGCTGCTGCTGCTGGCCTTGCTGCCCCTGCTGCTCCTGCTCCTGCTGCAGCTGCTGCTGCTTGGCCTGTTCTGACCCCAGCGAGGGAAAATCTCCCGCCGACAGATGGAACTGCCCTCCTTTGCCGTCCGATTCGCCATGGCGGTCCTGGATCAACGAACAGGATTGATACAGGCGAGACAACGGAATAGGGAAGAGAAACGGGCGTGGAGGTCCAGTCGGGTGGAGCGCGACCGGATTAAGATCCAAGACATCATGGACATTGATTTGAAGGAGGGGGTTAGACGAGAGGGAGACGAACCGGCGAACGACTCAGAAGAGGGACGCAGGAGCGGGACGCGGGGAGCGATGCAGGTGACGGTCGAGGGAGGGACAAGGCGAGAGGAACGAGGATAGGGACAGGAGAAGGACTAGGAGAGGGACGAGAAGCGGGACGAGGAGAGGGACGAGGAAAGGGACGAGAAAAGGGCCAGGGGAGGGGCCAGGGAAAGAGACGCACGGTGGAGGTCGACCACGCAGAGGGGTTAGGCGAGCTCCGCAGCGAACCACCTGGCGGCGTCCCCCCGTACGGCCCCCCCCGCGGGCCTTCGCGCGGACCCCCTGGCCCCTGTCCCCCCCACTGCGGGTACCCAGATGCGCCAGGCTCCCCCTCGTGGTGCGGCGACCGCTGCGGCTGATGCTGATACGACGAATCTGGACCACCAGGCACGGGGCTCCTACGGTCAGAAGTCAGGCTCGGAAACGCTCCCGGACCTGGAGGCCCCAGACCTGGCGGTCCAGAACCAGGGGGTCCTTGAGGTGAGGGCCCCGGAGGATACGGAGGGACAGGGGAGCGGTTGACTGGAGAGGGATTTCCATTGGGCTGAGGCCACGTGGAGACGGAAGGAGGTGGTGGGGATTGCTCTGCGCCAGGCGGCTTCCATGCGGAAGGAGGAGCGGGTGGAGAGGGTTCAGAAACGGCCCAGGCGGAGGGAGAACTGGGCTTGTTGGATCCCCATGTAAGACTTCCTCTGGAGAAAAGTCCACGAGAAAAAAAAATGTAGAAGGAAGAAAATAATTGGCACGCAAGTCGTAATAAATAAGTTACTGCAAACAAAATAACCATAAATACGGTTCAGAGGATGTGGGTTACCGTGGGACAAGTGCGACTGATGGGTCGAGTCCTTTGTTCTCAAGCCTGCGACGTAGAACCAGAAAACCCGTCAGATCCGAAAGCACGAGGAAAGATGAAAGGCGGGAAACGAAAAGCTAGTCATACTTTTGACTGGGAAGGTTGATTGGTTTTGGAACGGCAGGAATCTTCCCGAGCACGGTCATTCCCCTCCGGGATGGTGCTCCTCTGCAGACACACACCATGCAACAGGATATAAGTTCCTTTGATTCGTTATAACACTACTGTCATAAGCTGAAAGAGCGAATGATCACCCACCTTCTGTCTCCCAGCATGATCAAGGGATAAGAACTGACGCTCTGACACAAGAGGCGTCCCTATGCTAGGGAGACTGCTAGAAAATCAATGGCGGACTACGACTAGGGTACGACCCTAGAACCGGGATCTCAGACTTAGTCACACAGGATTGAACGACTAAGAAGATCCTACGGCTGGGCCTACACCTAACCTGCCTACTGCATCCAAGATCTGGAGCTCAAAAACCTTCTGTATGCTAGTCTCAGCTTATGTCTTGAACTCATCTTGAACCCTCTCACTCTGGGTTGACGGAATGCAGTGCTGCAGAAGAAGCCCAGTTGGACGGAGCCTGGCTTCCTTGAGAATTCAGCAAGACAAACCTTCAGAGGCTGTGCTTCGGCACGTTTTGCTTACCTCGTTCGGCCCAAACCTACGAGTTTGGCGGGCATAAGCTCTCGATAAGCGAACTGGCATGTGCCTGTCGAAGTTATTATTGGAGGAGGGAGGCTCGGACGAGCAGTGCTGTGGCATATGTCTTTTGGGCTAGGTTTGCTGCTGTTCTAGTGGCGCGAAACGTGGAAGCGTGCTGACGGGGCAATCCGAACCGAGAACGAGTCGAGCCAGGATCTTCAAGCCAGGTTCGCCAGACGCTCCGTTTTCCGTTACAGCTGTTGGCTATCTACTTCGGTGTTAATCCAAATAACACTGAAACCAAACTATCAGCCTAATTAATTCTTCTTATAGGTTCCATTTCATAAACATATGGTACATGAGTGTGGAAAATACATCATACATGACTCACAGAAAATACGATTTTTTTCTATAATTAAGAACGCCATGGCTTCTTCTCAGCTGCTGCTTAGAGAAATTGGCCCGCACAAAATGCCATCCAGTCCTTGAATGGCCACGTGTTGGTCTAGAAACAAATCAGGGGAGATCAGTGGGATTCGTCTGCTGCCTGCGTGAGGGTTTGTAAGCAAGACTTGCTTTCTCAAAGTGCCCTTTCTGTCCCTGCTGGTTGTGTGAAAACTCTTCACATAATTTGATTCGTAGCCTTTGATGTCTCCAAACTGAAAACACACAAAAGCGAACGAATGCAAAGGGACGTAAATAACCACCAGGATGAGACAACATTTCCGTAATGTTTTATCAATGCAGCCGAAATCCCTTACCTTCGTGCCATCAGGTGAGTCAATAATGTCGTCTGCAGTGAAATGGCCGAGAACGATGTGCAAAGGCATGCTGGAACTCATCAGATCGGAAGGAGACCCTGATCTTCTCGTCACAGACACGGCACGGGCGCAGCCGGGAGGAACGGCGGTGCCGTTTGCCGCGCCGAGAATTGCGTGGTTCGGTACGGCGAAAATGGTGAGCTGATAGTGATTCAGCGCGGGCCGAATTACATTTAGAACCTCTGTAAACGGACAGCAAAGGGGATCAGGGAAAGCAAGTTGGAAAAGTTTATTGGTCACGAATAAGACTCAGTCTAGACAGGAAAGAACGGTCACCGGGAGGTGAAGGAACGCACGAGGGTTGTTGAGCCGTTCGAGGAATTCCGTGTAACCCGCCGATCGAAGAGCTTCGCGAACCTTTTGAAGCTCCGTGGCGCCGTCAAAGATGGGAGGTGCCTCGTTTAACACTCGTCTCAATGCCGTGACGCTGGAAACGCATATGACGAGAAGGAGGACGCCTAGTGCCACCGCGTGCCTGAGACGAGGAGTTCGCCGTTCCAGCATGATGGATTTGACGACTCGAAATCGATACTGAATTGATCGGAAGAACTGGTAAGGGGATTCCCCCTCTCGCGAATACTATGCAAGTTAGCTAGTGCCTTACGTCTTCTACGAATTAGTACGGCGCACTGTACACGAGCCAGTCACTTATCACTGATCAGGTGTTCTGGAAACAGGAGAGCAGTGTACATGGCTTGTTTTCTGTGCCAAGTGTGGTGGTGTGGTGATGTGAGGCTGGTGGTGCAGCAGCAATTCGGGAATCCGGACTTGGGGCGACGGGAAGTTCGAGAGAAAAAGTCACATGCAGCGCATTTGAAGGACGGCTGCTCAGGGCGGGAAATGCACTGACGGCTGAAATTGATTGGGTTCAGGTGGCGGTGGAGAATTTTGGCGGTGGCAGGGGACCATTCGACGAAGCAGCAAACGACCGCTTGATAGGGCTTGACAGTTGGGCTTCTCTCCGTTTGATTGGTGGAATTAGGGTGAAACGGGAGGCTCGGAATTTGTACCTGGTGAGCCCTCGTAATTGGCTGCGAAGGGTAACCTGCCCCCCCTCCCCCGTCGCAGGCGCAAATGCATCAGGTTTGTTCAGGTTGTTCAGCACACTCGCCGACACCTGGCCCAGAGCTGTAACACTGAACACTTGGTGCTGCACATTAGCGGCCATATTACAAAGCAGAGGACCATCTGCTTTGAATAACCACTTTAAAAACAAAAAGGGCCCTACTGTTATAAGTTAGGTAAAAAAAGTATACTCAGATTGTAGGGTCCCTCCTAAGATTGTAAGAAGATTCATCCAGCGACTGGATGCATAATACTGGAACAAGACTATTGGCGGTATCCATGATCACAAGTTATATGCTGTTTGATGTATAAGCAAAGTTAATTTAGCTCCTTCTTACAGAGCAAATGATGTGGGTGGACAAATGGACTGAGCCAGATAAATCTTCCTGTGTTCACCCTTGTCTGAATACCGCACTGGTCTGGTACCGTGCGCTATTCACAGGAAGAGGGTTCAAGGAGATTTGGACTAGAGACACAAATGCAACAAATAGGTGTACGAATGGAACTGGCTGGATACATCAAATCCATAATCAGCAAAAACGCAGCCGTAAAGGCTGGTAAGGCCAAGCCCTTCTAACCTCGTCATATGCACACGTGAAGGGCGGTCCGCAAACAATACCTAGCTAATAAGTACAAGCCGTGATGTCTTCGGTTCTCTACAGCACTCTAAGAATCCTGGCCGCTTGGGCGCAGTGCATGCGAAGCAGCTGCACGGGAACGCTGTTAGAGTTCAGAGACGTGTCGACGGCGATCGCCACAAGGTCGCTCTCAATCGCCAGAAGCAGTCGCTCAGCCTCTGCGACACGCAGCTGTCGCCGCACCTGCGACTCTACGTCGACATCAATACCGAGATCGCTGATCCCGCTCCGCACGCGGGAAAGAAGAGCCCGCCCCGCACCGGCGATGCTCTTGCCGTTCCCCGGAGCGTGATTCAGCGTGCGGCTGAAGGTGACGAGGAAATCCGCCATCGATGCGCCCGACGGCAGCACGGGAGTGGCGGGGGCATTCGACTCGGGTCGGTTGACGGCGGCGGGTGCAGCTTCAGCCTTGACTGGGGGAAGTCCGCGTGCAATGAGCGTTCGTGATTTCAGCTGCGACACGGGGGATGCTGTGATCAGGCCCCTGGAGAGAACGGCGGAGGACAGGATAGCAGCCTGGTTGCATGAGAGAGCCATTTCGTAGAGCGAGGGTTGATTGCACAGATGTGTCACGAGCTGATGCTAGAAGGAACGGGAAATATCTGTGAGTAAGAGAGTGATTTTCGGCTTTGGATATTGAAAAGGAGGTGGAGGCTCCTTTTATTAAGTCAAGCGCCGAGCCCGAGAACTGCGCGACTCGCAAGAGTGCGGCGGAAGGAAGCGAGAGGTGCAGGTCCCGCAGCTGGGGTGGGAATATCGGAAGGTGAATGAACGTGACAACGAAACAGGGAACAACTCGAGCTGTGCGATTCGAAGTAATGTTGTGGGATTGAAAAATCTTCAGCATTCTGCACCGTGCAGAAAGATGCAGCTGTCTATCTCCTCTCATCTCACCATGTTCTGTTCTCGGTGGGAGCTGGGAGTGATCAAATTCGAAGGCCAGTTGGCTCACACAATTGGGAATTCACAATTCTAGGCCTGGTGCATTTGCGCTGCCACCTTGGCGAAACGTCACTTACGTGGCTGTTGGGTGGGGGCCGACGTGGAGCGTAGTTGGTTGCTTTGGTTTAGAAACACGTCCACGGGGGGTTCGCTAAAGCTTTGCTTCGATTCAGATGTTTGCCCACATAATTTCCCGTCGACAAGTATAGTCGTACGCAATTCATACAGCATATTCAGCACAAAATCCTTTTCTGCAAGGTAAACTAGTTAAAAACAAACGGAAAACTGTATTTAATAATTAAAAATAAATATTTACTGTACTCTGCTGCCAGTATTATTCGTATAGTGAAGGAGAGTAGAGGGTTTACATTTGTTCGTGGCTGCTTGTAAATGGACTGCGCAGCTCAGGTCTGGGATACACTTTGAACCCCACTCACGCCGCAATCAAAGTTTTTAAACCGAAGACAGAATCCAACGGTACTCTTTGGTACGATTGTGGTGGTGCTACCTAGGTCCGCCGTTCAGACCACACGAAACCATGCCAACAACCACCCACCCTTGGTTAGATTGGATGAAGCGTCTTCGCTCCACATCTGGCCGTTGGTTTCCTGTGCCAACTTCTGCAACAACCTCGAGATTAACATTTCGTGAAGTGTTCATAAGAAATTGCGAAGCGTTACTGTTTCGCTATTTCCTCGCACAAATTGTTTAGGGTTACGAGCATTTCAGCTCCGCGTGTTTCCTCATCCCGCCTATCGCCGCAACCCACCGCGTTCGCCTGTCACACCGCGCTCACCGAAACCTCAAAATTGCCTCGACAAGTTCGAGAGACCTTTGAGAATAGCTCTGGAAGAGCTTCGGAAGAGCCTCGGATGAGCCTCGGGCGTGTCGCTTCAAGTCTTCTCTGTCCCTTGAATCTCGTATTCCTGTGTGCCTTGCCTTTCTCCCAGCCCAGCGTCCCTCTCCCTCAGGCATTCCCAATCCCATCCCACCTTCACATCTCTGTCAGACAGACCCTTTCAGCTGCATCTGTCTTGCTTGAATCCCCAGTTGCTCCAAATCTTTTAGCTTGTCGTCGTGAGAATCGCCACTTGCTGTATTCTGTGCTGACCCTGAGTTCGAGAACTTAGGCCAGTTAATCGTCAGTGTTTTTTCTCAATTAGGCTGTATTCAACAAGCTTACGCTCATCGTATCCGTAGCTTAGGTCTGGTCTCGGTCCTCTCGATTGGTGAAAAGCAGACAGAAGCTGCTTAACACAGGCACTTGAATCTGTTACTCCCAAGGACTCTACTTCTGTGTCTCTAGTATAGGATGGACTTGAGATAAAGTGTGCATCCTAGTTTCGAGCCGTGTTCGCCATTGTCGGCCCTCCCTGTCAGGGCTAGCGTAGGACGTTTCTCTGTTATCCAGTCATCCTACTCTCTCCATCACGTTCTCCTAGTTGGCGCCTATGGATTGGGTACTATGGTTCGTCGGGGTAATTATAGCCCTAGTATGCACCCTCGTAGCTGTATTCTTGTCAGTACGGCATATTATCCAACATCTACAGAATTATACGGAGCCGACGTTTCAACGGTACATCGTCCGAATCATTTTCATGGTTCCAGTAAGTCTTGGGAAACTCTGTTTGCTGATTGCTCAAACCAGCATGTCGGGTTCCTGAATCATAGTATTATGAAGGGATTGGTTCCCGTTGCAGATGTAGTTGTGTTGCTCTTCAGACTACTTCAAACCAAACCGGTTGCTGCCTCGCGCTAACGGCTCAATCAATGGGTCTTTGGTTGAATCCTGCAGGTGTATGCGACCATGTCATTCTTCGCGCTGGCTTTCAGCGAGTACGCGATGTATTTCAACACCATCCGAGACGTGTAAGTGAAACAATCCTGCTGGTTACCTTTGGATCTTTGTTCATTCTGTAGATGTCAGCACCTCTCGTAATTCCAATTTTAAATCAATACCGAAGTTGCCGTATTTCTCTCCGCTTTCTCGATGTCCATTCGCCTTTCTCAGTTCGTAACTTCGTCCCCGTGAGTTGCTGTTATACCCCTTATAATCAACCCCAGGTATGAGGCATGGGTGATCTACAACTTCCTGTCGCTGTGTCTGGCGTGGGTGGGGGGTCCCGGAGTGGTCGTGACGTCTCTCGCTGGTCGCGTGCTCAAGCCGTCCATCGTTCTCGGCACGTGCTGCCTGCCTCCCATGCCGCTCGACGGGTAAGCTGCTGCCTTGTGCGCGGGTGACTTGCACGGCACCCGCACGGGTACGCTGTACGCTTCAATTCTTCGGATGGCCACAAGCTGATTTGGGTTCACTTCACTTGTGCATGCGTTGCGTGCATCCCATCCCTTCCATCCACCATTTCGGTGTCCAATGGAGCCCCATACAGGAGCCATGTCTTCACGTGGCAGCGACTGACTTTTGAGTCGACTCAAAAGTCATCTTGTGCAAGCGTTGCGTGCATCCCTTCCGTCCACCAGTTCGGTGTCCACCACACTTGGATGAACACCGGTTCGTCTCCTTGTCTCCCGTCCCATTCTCCGAAGTGCCTTCACAATCGACTTTCTTCCACATTCTCACGTCTCTCTCTCCCATTCAACCTCCCCTCCACACACCCCCGGACCCTCCCCCTCCTCTCCCCTCCAGCCGATTCATCCGGCGCTGCAAACAAGGCTGCCTGCAGTTCGTGTTCCTCAAGCCCATTCTAGCCGCGCTCTCGCTCATCCTCTACTCGTACGGGCTGTACAACGACGGCAACTTCAGCGCGTTTGACTCGTACCTGTACATCACGTGCGTCTACATGATCTCCTACTCCATCGCCATCTACGCGCTCATCCTCTTCTACGTCGCCTGCAAGGACCTCCTCACCTCCTTCAACCCCATCCCCAAGTTCCTCATGATCAAGGCGGTTGTCTTCCTCACTTACTGGCAGGTACGCCCCTCCTATCCCTGACACCACCCCTCCCTTCATTCCCCCTTTCCCCTTATTCCTTTCACCCTCGTTCGCCTTCAACCCCATCCCCAAGTTCCTTATGATCAAAGCCGTCGTCTTCTTCACCTACTGGCAGGTACGCCAAACGCACCCCACCTCGAACCCTCCATTTACCCCTCGGAACCAACCCCTCCCCTTCATCCCTCCCCCTGTTCCCCTCAAAGCGGTCGTCTTCCCCCCTCCCTCTAGTCCCCCTCATGTCCGTCTCATTCAGGCTGTCATCACCTTGCTCGTTTCCCAAGTGCTAGCAACTAACCATCAATACCTCCATCCCCCTATCCCCTCCCCCTCTCGCACGACCCCTCCCAAATCCGTCTCGTTCAGGGGGTCATCATCTTCCTCATCGCCCATTTCACAGCCAGCCCAGAGGGAGCAGCGGACCTCCAAAACGTAATCATCTGCTGCGAGATGGCGCTAGGAGCCATCGGCTTCATGATTGCATTCCCCGTGAAACCCTACATGGTCGCGAACGTGGGCACGTCAGGGGCCGGGCCGATGGATTTCCAGGGGTTCGGGCTCGCAGGGTTGGGCCTGGCGAATATGACCGAGGAGCAGAGGGGTGCGCTGATTTCTGCGTTTAAGCATTCTGTCAATATGGGGGATGTGGTGAGCGACACGGTTCACCAGTTCGCCCCCACGTACCATGACTATGTGCTGTACAGCGATGGGTCGCAGGACAAGCCGCAGCACTACCGCACCCGCACCTTCGTTCCAGCAGGTAGGCCCTTTTTCAGTAATTCATTGGCTTTAAAGAGTGTCCTTGTTAATTGGTCGCTTTCCACTTGTTTCAAGGGGCCTCTTTCATGTGGTCGCCCCCTTCTATATTCCGTTTTCATAGGCCTCACCCTGTCTCTCTCTCACCTCTCCCACCCACATCTCCCCACCTCCACACCCAATCGCCTCCGCCCTCAGGCAAGGAGATGGAGAATGCGCGTAGCATGAGGCAAACCTTCAGCTCCGGCCGCACGGGGCTCCTCACAGCCGAAGCCACCGCCTCAGAGCGCCGCTTTGCCAACCTCTTCGCCTCCATCACTCCTGGCGCTGCTGCTGGCGCTGCTGGTGCTGCTACAGCTGCTGCTACAGGCGCTGCTGGTGGGTCTGCTGCTACTGCAGCTGACGCCTCTGATTCTTCCGCTGCTGGGTTGGGCGGTGGGGTGGCAGCCAGAGGGTCTGCTGGTGTTGCTGCAGCAGCAGGGGCGGCTGAATCTACCGATACTCCAGCCGGAGCAGCAGCAGCGGCGGCAGCAGCAGCCGCAGCTGCAGCTGCTGCAGCGGCCGCTGCGGCTGCCGCTGCCGCCTCGAGAATCAAGGGAGAGACAGTTGTGAGCATTCGCCACGACATTGACGATCCAAATGCAGCTATTCTTCAATCTCCCATGGGAGAACCCTCGAGCTCTTACGACCCTCCGGTTAAGAAAACCAATTCGTCGCTTTCTCGAAGCAGCAGCAAGGGAGGGGAGGGGAGCGGTGTTAGGGGGATTGGTTCGGAGGGTGAGCCGCTGTCTCGGCGGGCTTCGAGCATCAATGAGGAGGAGAACTCGCGGTTGAGACGCAGCTCAGGGGCGGCGAGCAAGAAGGAGAACGAGTTTGGGTTTCTGATGAACGAGGATGATATGATTGAGGAGGGGGATCCTAGACTTGACCTTGAGGGGTTTGTAACTGGGTAACTACATAGGAAGTCAACTTTATGTCTCACAAGTTTGTTGACATCACATTAGGGCGTTTTAAGTTCATTGCAGATTGTTAATTTCTATATATAATCTTGTAAGCTCTTGGGGCGTGCTCCTACGCCTCATATCAGGCAAACCTCGTATCAGACTCACCCTTGGTGTCAGGGAAATAACAGTTTAGACTCCCACTCCTTGAAATCATATTTAGGTGCTGCCAGGCCTGTTCTCACAGCCAAATAACGAGGGACGACTTCCTTGAAACGACTATATCTATTATTTTGCCGTCCATAAAGTTGACATTATCTTACAACTACCGGTATATACATAATTTGTACACTATAGATTACACAGACTAGGGATGGTTATTCCCCTAAATTCCTAAATCTACTTCACACGGAACGGAGAACACGTGCAGCGTGTGCGCACTGCAAGCGGACTGCCTGCACGGGGAAGGCCTCGGGGGACACAGCAAGTTCGAACTGCAGGCGGCCCAAATCCCTCTCCACCTCAAATAGTAGTCGCTCGGCCTCCACGCCCTTCACCTGTAGAGCATAAGCAAATCAGAATCGAAGAAGTGGAGGGTGAATAAAAGAAACCCATGAAACAGCGTCCGTAGGAACGTCACCCATTTATCCCGGAAAAAAGAAACGGCACCCAAGAATTGAAAAAAGCGGGAGAACACGTACTTGGTTCGTGTCGAGCAGGGTCCGCAGCGACTCGAGCACGTGCGCCAAGACGCCGGCACCTGCGGCGACGAGATCGCGGCTGCGGCCGGGCATGAGGTGGAGCATGCGGCTGTACGACATGAGGCAGTCCGCCATGGCTGCTCCGGATCGCAGCGCGGCGGGCGGGGGAGCGAAGTTCGTGGGTGCGTTCCGGCGGCGCGCGGACGGTGACGATTTTTCTGCAACGAAGTGAAAAGAACGGTAGGTAACGACAGCGGGAGATTGCAAACGGGGCAGCGGTACAACTACTGATCGCGAATCGAACCATTCATTAACGCCAAAATACGAGCTTCGAAAAGAGACTACGCACTGTGTTGCTTGATGCGGGGCACGGGGATCGCGGAAGAGGATGGCGAGATTGCCGTCGATTGCGACTCGGAGGTTAGCTCCACCCGTTCGGCGCGTCGCGTGGGAGAGGGCGCCAATATCGCGACCATGGTGACCGAGGTTGACGGGGAGACGGTGGACGATGGTGCGACGGTGGACGATGGTGCGACGGTGGTCGATGATGTTACGGTAGGCGGTGGTTTAACGGTGGGAGCCCGGACAACAGTGGGTGCTCGTGTGACGGTTGGTGCTCGTGCGACGGTTGGTGCTCGTGCGAAGGTGGTCGACGGCGCGACTGCGGAGGGCGCCGCTTGACAGCGGACGAAAGGGATGGCAGCAGCGAGGTCCCGTTCCGCGATTGGCGAAATCATCGAGCCGTTGCAGATTCCGAGCAGAGCAGACGCTGAGTGGTGGAAAGCTAGCGCCATGTTCGAGAAACACGAGGAGATCAGCAGCACCACTTCGAGGAACCAGTTAACGACTTTATGCTTCTGTAGGAGTTCTGGAAAAAGAATGTAAGAAATCTATCGGGTTCGAGGTGGATTTATGATAGTCACGGAGCCTACTAAATATGTATGAACAGCTGTTCCGGCCCCGCTGTGTCGTGTGTCGGGGCGAATTCCTTTGTCTGCACAGCGAGGGTAATGCAGCAATGCTACTTGCCCTCACGCAAGATTTGGGCGGGAAAAATGTCCAAGGCGTTGTATCGCGCTCACCAAAATGTTTGCGTAGTTCGTGAACGACTATGACGTGTCGAAGCGCAACTTATGTCTAATGATGTTGGTGTCTTCCTAGAGCGCTAATTGGTTGGAATATTTCAAAATGTCTACGTGGTCGAGACATGTGCGACGAACCAATTTCATTGACGAATTGGATTTCGGCACGCTGGAAATCATAAATAGCTGCAACTCAAGGCAGCGACACCCCCCCTTTCCTTCACTTCTGGTCATGTTATGGATTGCTTGCAATGATGCTGTACGCGTACAGTATTGGTTGGGAATGCATACCGTAGTTCTGTAAATGTAAAAGACTGTTGCCATGTGTCACTGTTCACGTTCTTTTAATATACTAATGGTCATACTAAGACTATATTCAAAATAGGACAGATGCATGCACGTTGTACTCTGTTACAATACAGCCGGGGATTCTTAATCAACCTTAAATTGAGTCAAAAGCAAGGGGCTTGAAGAATCAGGAGCTAGTGGCAGGAGCGGCAGCATCAGTCCCGTTGGTGAGGGCAAGAGGGTTGGGCGGCTCATTGAAGATCTGGATGTTCTCGGGGCCTCCATTACGGATGGCGACATAGAAGCTGGCGTACATGTTGACTCGGTCCATGTACTGCTGCTGTGTGATGGAGCGCACTTGCACCACTGCCATTGGATGGGCAGGAGAACGGCAAAAGTTAGATGATAGCGAGGGGGGGAACCGAGGAAGTCGGGAGAGGGTGGGATTTGGGATGGAAATGGGGAGGGTGAGGGGGGGGGGTGGGGGAAGAGGCGAACGTGGTGGGGCTGATCGTGAAATGCTGGAGGAAGAAAGGAACTTCTTGAACTGTTTTCCACCCCATGATCTTGGTTCAGCAGCCTCATCATCCCAGTCAGCTCCCCCCTAAGTCATACCCAAAAAGTAAGCCACTTTCCAGCTCTTACCCTTGAATCCAGCCTTCTCAATGTCCTTGGCATACTCGGGGTTGCGAGACGCGCTGCGCCAGATGACACGACCTCCAGGCTGCAATGGTGGGGAAAAAAAACCAAAAGGGGGAGAAAGAAGAGGAAAGGGATGACAGGTCAAGGGGAGGGATGTAGTGCGCTACATGACACAGCCTTCAGGCTGCAGGCCTCCGTGGAAAGGAACAAGAGAAAGAGTAGATACCAAGAGGCCCAACAGAGGGGAGATGAAGTGTGCTGCAAGCACTGATCTGCAGACCATATGCACTTGGAAGGAACAAGCATGCCGCAGCAGGGAGAGTGCTGAGACACGGGTTCGGGAGCTTGTGCCTCACATCACAAGCCAATGACTGGGCATAAGGTTTACTACATTCGCGACCTTACACTATCCCAAGAACCCTGCTGTCTGGACTCACCTTGACTTGGTCCTTGAGTGCTTGGCAGAGCGTGTCAATGTCTCGCTGCCCCAGCCAATCCACATGGTCCATGAGGATGACCTGCCGGGGAATGGGGGAGGTGAGCAGCGATAAGGTAGAATTGCTGGAGACGAGTCAGCGTATGGAAGGGAAAATCGCTGAGCGTGTCAATGTTGCGCTGCCCCAGCCAATCAACGTGGTCCATCAGAATGACCTGCCGGGGAACGAGGGAGGTGAGTGGGGAGCGAGACAACGAGACCGAGGCGAGTGAGGGGTGAGGAGAGGAGAGGCGAGGAGGGAATGAGGAGAAGGGTGAGCAGAATAAGAATCGAGTGGAGTTCGAAGGATCAGTCAGAAATTGAGGGGAAAGCTTAGCCACTCTCTTTCAACTTGGAACTCACCCATCAAAGGGACAGATCAATTTACGCAGAACAAAAGTACATTATACCTTGGTGTACATGCGTGCTCGCAGCTCCTCCACAAAGAAGGACGTTGAGATGAGCATGCAGTCCCGGGCGGCGAGCTCCGTCTGTCACAAAAGACAGGGGAAGTGGCAGGAGAGGGGGAGAAATGGGGTACAAGAACCAGAAGGGGGAAAAATTGAGAGGTGAGAGGTAGAGGGGCAGCGAGGCACGAGGAGGGGACGACTAGGGCCGAGGGTTGGACGAATGCAAGATGAGGGATGAAGAGCAGTAGGAGGGGAAGGCGGGTGAAAGGCCCTTGTTTTGGTCGCCTGTGAGAGTGAACGAGGCAAGTGCTGCCCTTTCACCACAAACCCAGCCTCTCCACATAGACCCACTCTACTCCCACCATGAGCTTATGCCTTAGCCCCTATTCCCCCCTCTCAAGCCCTTGTTGAAGCAGGGCTCCTGCAGGAAGCGCGGGCAGCAGTTGCGCCCCTCACAGCTGCACATAATTGGCATACGTTGAAGCTAAAACCCATGAGCATCACCCCTAGCCCGAGCCTGAACGTCACCACTAGCCCTGCACCCTGAACTGACCTTGAGCTTGTTGAAGCAGGGCTCCTGCAGGAAGCGCGGGCAGCAGTTGCGTGAGAATTGGCCGGTCAGGCAGCAGCGGTAGAAGTAGTTGCTGTGGGGGGGGGAGAAAGAGAGAAGGGGGCAACGCTTCAGCCACAAAGTGCAAGCAGTGCATGAAATAGCAGTGTTACACGTTCTCGCCGCTTGCGCACACTACACCAACCGTCACTGTATTCAACTGTCACCAAGTAAGGGCAGCGCGGGCCCCAGTGGTACACAATCTCAACCTTTACCTGCCAGGGCAAGTGGCATCTGCCTCCAAATTCAAGCAGCGCACAACGTGGCGGTAGACGTTGTCCTCCTTGCGGATGAGGCGCAGCTAGCCCCTGCCCTCCCCACCCCCAGTATGTCCAACAGCCATACACTAACCACAGGACGCCACACAAGCCTCACCTGTTACGAAGAGAAGTGGTCTCAGCCCCTGAGTCCAAGCAACGCACGACAGAGCGGTACACATTGCCCTCCTTGCGGATGAGGTGCAGCTGCCCCCTGCTCTACCCACCCTCCCTCCTGCCCCATGCACAATAGCCAGGAGCATCACCTGTCGCGCAGGGAAGTGGTCTCTGCCACGGAGTCGAGGCATCGGACGACATAGCGGTAGACGTTGTCCTCCTTGCGGATGAGGCGCAGCTGCCCGCGGGCGATGCCGGCGCAGAACCAGAGCACCACGCGGTTGGTGAAGAAGAAGCCAAAGATGCGCGCAAACATGTTGGCCCTCGTGAGCCATCGCCCGATGGTGTTGGTCCTGTGGGTGTGAATGAAGGGAGTGGGAGGGAATGGAGGGAGGTAGAGGGATGGGGGGGAGGACAGGGAGGGGTCATTGTCTTAGAACCAGAGCACCACGCGGTTGGTGAAGAAGAAGCCAAAAATGCGCGCAAACATGTTGGCCCTCGTGAGCCATTGGCCGATGGTGTTTGTCCTGTGGGTGTGAAGAGAGTGGGAAGGGATGGAGTGGATGGATGGGTGGGTGGGGAGGTTAGAGAAAATCTGAGGAGAACCCAAAGATGTGAGCGAGCATGTTGGCCCAAGTGGGTGTGAGTGAAGTAAGTGGGAGGGAATAGAGGGAGGGGGAGGATCCTATTGGTCCTGTAGAATCCGAGGAGGGTTTGCCCTGACCCCTGATGCCGCACATCTGGCCACAGACCTGACTGCACTGCACTTCACATCATTGCGCTACTGCACTACACTGAACCGCACTGCACTGCACCACACCGCACTGCACTGCAGGGTACTGACCAGATCTCATACTGGGTCTCGACAGAGGGGGCATTGACCAGGTTGTCAATCCACTTCTCCTGTGAGAATTGATTCACAGGCGGACACAGGAGGAAGACGAGAAGCAAGGTCAGGATGGGGAGAAGCAACGTCAGGGACGGGCGACACATGGTCAGGGAGGGGAGGGGAGCAGCAAGGACACGGAGGGGAGCAGCAAGGACACGGAGGGGAGCAGCAAGGACATGGAGGGGAGCAGTAAGGACACGGAGGGGAGCAGCAAGTACACGTAGGGGAGCAGCAAGGACACGGAGGGGAGCAGCAGCAAGGACAGCTGTGCCAGTGCCAAACAACAGAGCAGATTAAGGACGATCGAAAGGGGAGGGTTGGAAGGAGGGTGGGAAACAGGGTGAGATGGAGGGTGGGAAGGAAGGTGGGAAGGAAGGTTGGACGGAGGACGGGAAACAGGGTGGGCAGGAGGGTGGGAGGAATTCGGGAAGCTTGGCGAGGACTTGCAGGATATAATGCAAGTGCATCCCATTCATTCACCCACGCTGGGACACACACACCATCCATGCAAGTGCATCTCCGTCTTCCATACCCCATTTGCCACCAAGTCCAACCACTCCAACACACCAGCACGCACATTCTGGTGAGCTTAGCGAGGATTCGCACGGCAAGGATGAGACAAGACGACCCAATCATTCATCCGCACCAGCACACACCAACTCATGCAAACATAGCCCTGTCACCCATCTACACCATTCACAGCACAGCACAGCACAGCACAGCAGCACGCACCATTCTGGTGAGCTTGGCGAGGACTCGCACGGCACGGATGAGACGACCCATGCCGCCTGCATTGGAGACAGGGCGTGGACGAAAAACACGTATTAGATGGGTAAATTTTGGAAAGGCATGGAAAGGCATGACGCTGGTCCATTCGCCTCTGATACACAGCTGGCAGCACTTGGCATCCATCAGTGCATCAGTGAGCTAATTGGATTCAGTTCACGTCCTTTCACTGTGACTTGGACAGCATGCACTATCACTTTGCCTTATAGATTCGTGACACGCCTGATTGTGTCATTGACCATGCCAATGTCCCACTCCACTTTCTCTTTGCTGAGCCAACATCCCAGGACTCACCGTGAAAGTAGATGCCGTTGCGAAAGTAGTACTTCTTCCACCGCCACAAATTGGTCGCGCCCTGGCTCTCCCCGATCCCATTCCACGACTTGAACGAACTACTCAACTTGACTCAATAGACTCACCGTGGAAGTAGATGCCGTTGCGGAAGTAGTACTTCTTCCACCGCCAGAAGTTGGTGGCGCCCTGGCTGAGGAACGGCACGAGCTCCCTCTCCAGCAGCTCGGGGAAGTTCTCATGGACGCCCTCGCCAAACATCTTCCACACGTCCTCAAAGGGCAGCCGCAGGATGGCTGCTCGCTTCAGCTCCAGCAAGTAGCTCTGCGCTGGGTTGATGTCCACCCCCACCACCTTGCCCGCTCCCTGTGTACCGCAAAAACATAAAAGAAAAGAAACAGGACTGAGCAACGACGCTGGCAGGCTTTCAATTATCAGGAGGGAATGGAGGAGACGTAGGGTAGGGTTTGGGTTGGCTGCTCCTTGTGAGCTCAATTCACTGCTTAGGCGACCATGTTTAAAGCTCAGTTGCCACGCGCCCGCACGTCGCTTGCTAGCTTTGTTGCAAGCTCAGATGGACACATTAAAACCCTGAACCCTGAGATGTCTCATTCCACAAGGCGGAGGTAAGCGTCGCACATGCGCACGCTGACTGACAAACTGTGGGGTATGATTCAACTCAACTGCCAGCTCAATAGAGCTGTCAAGAACGACATTAAACCCTGAACCCCGCGGCCAGAAGGCTAAAGGCAGAGAGATAACCCTCGCACATACGCGCTCTCTTACGTGCATTGCACCTAGCGCTCTTAAGCCCCGAAGACGAGTAAATGGGGAGTGAGATAAGATGCAGAGGGATGCAGAGAGCAGTCTCGTACCTGCAACACGAGGTCGAGCGCATTGCAGCCGCCCGACGTGAGCGTGAGGATGGTGTCGCTGGGGTTGATGTCCAACACCTTGTCGTCCTCGCGCGGGTCCTCCCACGACAGCGAGTACAGGAACGTCGGGGGGAAGCCCGGCGGGATCTTGAACTCCAGATCGTCCGCTGCCCGAGCAGGGAAGCGCACCAGGTTGACCTCTGCATGGCGGGAGCGAGAAGGAGTTGATGGGAGCACGGAACGTCAGGAGAAGCCAGGTCACGCAGGCTGGAAGTCGATCGACACTTGACCAGGCGAATCAGGTTTGGGACAGAAAACAAGTGTGGTCAAGTCACGGGCGAGTTATTCCTTTATTCCTTACTCTGGCAGTCTCTGCGGCGTCCGACCCAGATGTAGAAGGGCGCCCTCAGGTACGGCACGTAGGGGATCTTGCCCTGGCCGTTGTACTCGTACACTGCACACACGGGAAGGAGCAGGAGCAGGAGCAAGAGGGTGCAAGCAAACCCGGGTTATAAAAAAAAGAACGAGACGGGAAATGAAGGAAGGAACGGTGCCCTGGCCGTTGTACTCATACACTGCACGCACAGGAAGGAGCAGGAGCAGGAGCGCGCGCACGAGCAAGGGGGTGCAAAAAAACCAGGATTAGCAGAGGAGTGAAGAATCAGGAGGGGTATGAAAAGGAAACGATGGCTGATCGCACCACCACGTTGAGCCATTGTCTCAACCTTCTCCAGTTCCGCATGCTACAACAATGAATGTTGAATCAATGTTCTTCGCGGAGTTTCTGGCCTAGACTCATCTCTCCTTCCAATTGCGTCCCACCTCCCCTCAGCATCTTTCATACGCTCGCTCTTGCCTTCCCAAGCAATTTCCGTCCATCTTCCACCAACACTCGCTCCCTAGCAACATGTGGTCCAGCGTGTTCTGTTGAACAATCTCTCATCTGAACACCGACTTACCATCCTTCCTTTCTCCATCTCTCTCACCATCACAATCCCTCGTCCCCTTACAAATCTCCTGCGTGTGTTGTCGAACAATCTCCAACCAGGGGTTTTCTTTTCTCTGACCATCACCATCCTTCTTCCTTTCACCATAACCATCCCCCCGTGCGCTCACCGGTCTCCAGCTTGTGCTCCAGGTAATGCCGGCGCTCGGGCGAGAGGTCGATGCCGTCCAGGTCGAAGCAGGAGCGCCAGAACCAGCGCTGGTTGTACGTGTGCTGCCGGTTGGGCAGGTCGAACTTGGCGGAGGTGAAGAAGTCCGCCACGCCCATGATGCCGTCCTCCTCCATGTACCCCGACGCCGCGTCCACGGCGTCCATGAAAGGCGGGATCACTGCACCGATCGTCCAATTTTGAATAAAACGAGAGTGAACAAAAAAACATATTTTAGATGACAATGGAAGGCATTGGAAAAATGGGAGCGCTGGATGATGAGAGCACGATTAAAAGCCAATGAAAGTGGTGAACAGACACACGTGCGGTTCGAACACTCCGAATCACGTACTGGAGAGCGAGTAGGAAAAGGTGACCAGCGTGGCCTTTTCCGGCGGCGTGAAGGCGCAGGCGTCTCCCTCGACGATCACGACGTTGGTCCACCCGCGCTGCTTCACCTTCTGCTCCGCCACGCGGCACAGCGACGGCGTGATGTCCACCACGTAGATCTTATCGAACGCGGACAGATCGATGAACTCCGCCATCATATCAACGTTCTCCGCGGTTCCGCCGCCCAGATCTACCCAGACCATGCCGGTTGACCCGCGCAGGCGCGCGGCGCACGCCGCCAGCATTGGCCGGCGAGCATGGAGGAAGTTGCGGCGAAATCTATCGTCTGCAGATTGATGGGTGATTTGGGATCAAAGAAATCACATTTTACACCTAGCCAGCCAGTCCGTCGTGACGATTCGTTACGGGGTTGCGAAATGCAATCGCATGAAACGACCGAGAGTTAGAGCATGGATTGATTGTGTGAGAAAGTAATGTCATGATCTCCATTCTGAAGAGTTAAGAGAAGTTATGACATTTAACGACAATCGAATCCTAAGCGACTTACAGGCGTGTGCTTGCGGGCTGTAAAACGACTCAAGGCGATCCTTGTGTGTGTTTCCCTTGATCTTCTTGAACCACATTGACGACAGACACTGCATATCCTGAATCACACCATACGCCGTACGAAGACCGAGCACCATCTTCGCACAACGCTAAGGGCTTGCGCCCCTAAGAAATAATTAACAATGCCGGCCTGTTCTGCTAGCCCTGGCTAACAGGTGAATCCAGAGTCAGCAGGTACTGACTCAAGGGCTTCTCACAGAAGCAAGCTTGATCAAGGAAGGCAAAATAGAAGGAGCTTCTTCGGCAACATCAATGGCTCAATTATACATTCTCCAGGGACTGGATGGATGATCCTCCTGAGAATTGCTCCACCAATGTGGCAAAAAAAACACTTGAAACCAGGGCAGGGAGAGAGCGTTGGTGGAGAACCCAAGAGATGCATTGCTTGTGGTGGTCCAACCTCAAGGGCTCACTCGCCGACCGATCCTTTATCCTACGGCTGACGGTCGACGCCACCACAAGATTTCTGGATCTGAACGCTGTTCACAGATCGTTGAGTGGGCGATGATCTCAAGGGGTATCTGGCGATGCGCTCCGCCGCCTTGTCAACCACCACGAATTCAAGCCTTGCTGGAGCAGCAACCCTGGGTGATTGGTTGACGAGCCAGAATCTCTCGAGGAGCGAAGATGGCAACGGTGTGGTGAAGATCGGTTGAGGGTCAAACATGGCAGTTTTGAAAGAGCCAGCTTTAATATATTTATTACAGTTAGTCTAAAAGGACAAACCATAATCTTGCTCAAACAAAACAGTTTACTCAAGGTGAGAACATATAATCTTCAGCACAAATTACTCCACCACTAAAAATTGGATGATTCAATGCAGAGCGCCAGTTTTGGCAGACGCCAGTCTCTAGAAAAAGCGACGAGCTCGTTGGTTGTAGAGATTGGACCTCCCAATCCCGGCCCTCCTTACAAGCAAAATTTGGATTCATCAGCTCCACTTGCCGTCCTGCACTCCCACTACGTTTCGAGAAACTGCTGTCAACGCGCGAGCTAGTGATATCATCACACGCAACCGGATGCCTCTCTGCTTCATTCATCGACTCCACAACATCTAACGCAGGGCGTAACTGCAAACTCCCATTAATCTCCATAAGCCTTGCATCAACTGGCCTTTCGGTCATCCCCACCGCCATACTCAACCCTCCCCTCTGCCTGTGGCTGCTGCCTCCACCATTCACCACGAACATTCGGCTCCCACCACTATGCACACCCCCTTTCCTGTGCTCCGGACTCCATGAATGCAGCCCACCCACTTTGCACCACCCACTATCCTGCGACTTAACCATGATATCCGAAGCCTCCACAGCACCTTCCCCCATCTCCTTCTCCCTTCTCCTCCTCTCCCGACCCTCATGTGCTTCGGAGCGATGATCCAACCAAGATTCAGGCTCGGAACTCATGCGTCGGATTTGCCTATGATGTGCTTGCCGCAGCACAGGTGTAGGGCTGGGAGGCTGCCAATCATGTTGCTCTGCCTTCAGCTCCAAGGGCGGTTCTCTGATCACCTGGTCCCGTTTCTGCTCCTGTATACCGGTCCCTTCAACGTGAGGTGAATGCGAGCGCAGGTCACATACAGAAGCACCTGGTGCATGCATCCTGCTCCCTCCTGCCATGCCCATCTTGGCTGCTGCTGCTGCAGTCCTTTCCGGCGGCAAATGCTCTTTCAGCAGGTTCCGTGTTGACAGTTGCTGTGCTTGCAAGTCCTGAGCTGGCAGCTTCTGCAGTGGAAGCTTCTGTGCAGCTTCTGGTTGCGCTGGCAATTCTGTCACGAGCTCTTGGTGAGCCGACGAGTGCTGCAGTCGAGGGAACGACACTGCAGAGCAGCGGAAGCACTGCGGGTCATTGTCAGGGCCGCAGAAGAGCCGATGCTCCATCGCAGGCACAAAGCGCGGAGCTCTCCCCTTGGCCCTGGCCAGACTTCCAACAGTATCCGGCACAGCCTGGCATCCCTCATGCGGTGCAGCTCTGGATGTCACCGACATGGCCCAAGCCTCATGCGACGCTGCTCTGTCTCTCATAGACCCACCATGATGCAACGCAGCACCATCATGAGCGACGGGGTGATCAATCGTCGTCTCGCAGGTTCCTTCGGTTCGGCTGCGCCGCAGCAGCGGAGGCGCTTCAAGCGACGGCGAGGGAACGCCGGGACACGCGGGAACATGCATTGGAGTCAACGCCGTCGCGGGGTTTCGATACGGGGATCTGATGTGGCAGGACGATGCGGATGGGCAGCGGGCGGCAGGGAGAATATGCGGCCCCGCCCAATGACTCCAATCCATGCTCGCCCATCGGTGATGTCTTGGGGGCTTATTTGCCGTTGATCCTGCACTGTTGGATCCAACCTTGGATCCACAGTGAACACCGTTGGATGCCGTATCGCATGACGCCGTGCTGTTGGTGCGGCTCGTCCGTGGGCTTGGGTGGTGACCCCACGGGTTGGTGCCGTGACTAGAAGTCGCTGTTGTGGGATGATCCCAAGGGTTCGCGGAGTGCCGTTTGTGGCGGAAGATGGGCGACACGGGAGCGTGCAACAAGTGCCAGATAGATCCCACGCTCCATCCGCCCGTGCTGATGCTGCTGCTGTCGCTGCTGCTAGTTGTAATGCTACTGTCACCGTGATAGTACGAAAACAAACCGCCGGTCACCGTTGCTGCCTCCGCCGCGGTGTGAAGGCTGTGCGACTCCCAAGGGGAACTGGCGCTGCGTTCCGCGACTCCCGGCGACTGCGGAGGCCTTTCCGTCGAGTCGCTATTGGCGCGCACCATCAATCGTCCCCCGTCGAACCCGGCGGCGTGCGCGCCGGTGCTGTTCCGCCGGACAACATGATTTGCGCTGCTGCTGCTCCCCTGGTTCAGGATCCGCATTCCACCTCCTCCGCTGCGCGGGCGTGCGTTGGCGGACGCAGGGCAATGCTTGTCTCCGCCGCTTACTAGCGCCGCGCCCATCGTTCGCTCGACCGCGCGGAGGCTTCCGCCCACGAACGCGCCGAGTGCGGCGCCTCCGCTGGTGCCGTCGCGCAGACGATGCAGGGACGGAGGGGGACGCTCGTTCGCAGGCGACGGCGTGGCGTAAGAATGATTTTCGACGGTTGCCATTTCCTCGGGGGCGCCGCGCCGCCCGAGCTGTCCAGCGGACACGGCGCTCACGCTACTAGATTCGCCGGGGGAAGCGCTCGTGATTTTCTTCGCCATCCGCGCTGGTTCGCATGAGCGGAACCCGCCGCTCTCGTCGCTGGTCTCCGTGCCGATGAGCGCCGGCGTGACTAAATCGAGCTCTACCGACTCGCTGCTCGTGACAATTTTGAGGGCCGGGGGGCGCCGGAAGGGAGGGCGGAAATAAATTGGTAACAACGCCGCGTGAGGGGGAAGCTGGGGAGCGGAATCGGCGGATCTCCGACCTAAACTCCGCAACAAGTGACCTCCTAGAACGGCCATTACCACAACGCTCGAGCTACACACCAAATACTGGGTATTTTGGAAAGTGTCACTACTAGCTAACTTCGGCCGTGCAATTATGGGGACGCCGTGGCAGCAAGAAATACCTTACCCAGCAGGAGTCAAAACAAAATAGTCTGGTAAACTCGTTGGTGATCCACTTTCGTTGGTGCAGATGATCGTGACTTTGAGAGACCAGAACACAGAGGGATGAGAGAAGTTATGAAGCGGTTTAGTGCATCAAAATGTGAAAACCGAACTGTTGAGAGACGGGATTGACCAGTACAGTTCGGTGGCACCAATTGCTGTTTCAGCACGGGCAAATAATGCTCCCTGCCAGCCATGAATGTTTCTGCTAGACCTGGATTGCAAGTGGTATTGAAGTGTGTTGACCCAACTGTAGACGTCATCAACCCGCAGAAGCCAGGCGTGGTAAGCCACGTGTGGTGATGTGGATGCCTAAGGGCAGTGCTCCTTTTCTCCCAATCGAGTTAGGTCGGGAATCGGGTGAGTGAAAGTGTGGCCAATATAGTGGGTTCTCAGGTGTAATCACCGACAGAAACACAGTTTCCTGATATAATACTAGGTTATTCTGGTTGTTTTCTGTATACGGTCAATAAAGAAATTACAGCACTTGAAAAACAAAATCTGTAGCGAACCTATATGAATTTCGGGACGGATCAACCCTAAATAAGAGAAGCCGCCAAATATTTTGGAAAAAATATATTGCACCCCACCTAACCCAGAAATAAAACCCAATCGGAAAGGGATGATGTTGCGATCAGATGTTGATCGTACCTAGGATCACCTCATGAAGATTCGCACACGTCTGAGTAGTGGTGGGCCCTTGACCTCAATAGCAGAGTGGATGTAAAATGCTTGAAATGATAATAACATGCGAATACAGGAATATAAATAAGAGTACAAAGGAATTCGAATCGACCTATGCTAGCCATGTACTATAAGGGGTACATTCTCTTGTTGTAGTGAAACCCAACCGTGCGACTCCATACGGTTACAAACTGCCTTGGCAGAATCCTCGCCACTGCTGCTGCCTGATGCTGTATGCCCAACAGTCCAGATCCCTTCGTAACCGTACGACCCTTCGCGTCACTTCCACCTCTTCGTCTTCAGCCTCGGTAGTGTATGCTGCGGTAAGGAGTGCACAGTAATGCTTCATCTTTTACTATTCGTAACAACCCCCTTCACTCCTGGCCGTAGCGAGTATTGACCCGTTTGACTACTTCGCTGAGCTCGGAGCAGTGCTGGTACTACTGACGTGACAGTCGATTCGTGAGGAAGTCGGCTGCCATGACACCCGTCGGACAATAGGTGAGGTCAACCTTGCCCTTGTCGACTTCGTCCTTGACGAAGAAGTACCGCAACGCGATGTGTTTGGTGCGGTTGACGAACCCAGGCTTGTTCGCGATCCCTATCGCACTCTGATTGTCGCAGTGCAGGCAAAAATTCGCCGAGGCTGGAATTTTCGCCTCCTGCAGAAGCTCCTAAAGGTAGAGGGCCTTCGCGAACGGATGCTGCTGCTACGATAAATCCAGCTTCCGCTGATGACAGGGCAACCAGCTCCTGTTTCTGCGAATTCCAGGAGATGGGGCCGTTGGGCTCGAGGCGGAAGAGGAAGCATGTCCTGAACCATCGATTGTCGGGGTCAGCGACATGATCAGCGTCCACGTAGCCGATGAGGTTGAAGGACGAGATTGGGATGGTGGAGTAGCAGAGCCCAACATTGGGCGTGGAGATGAAGAATTGAAGTGCCCGCTGAAGATCTAGCATATTCTCAGCCGTTGGTTTGCGCGAGCACTGAGCCAACTGAGAGATCGGGCCTGCAGGTAACAGAGGCGAAGAGTAGGCATCCCAGCTGCTGCGTGTAGGTATGAAGCCCAGTAGGGGACAGGGCTTTGTTGTCAGGCTTGTGGTTGGGTCCTGGAGTGCGGTAAGGGGTAGAGAGTGGTGCAGGTGCAATGTTGAAACGCTTGCCAAGTTCCTCTGCATACTTGGCTGCTGAGAGATGAATGGCTTCTGGCGAGTAGGAGATGTTGAGCCCAAGAAACTGCTTCACGTCGTGGTTGCAGGTGATGTCGACGCGCCTTGCAAGACTTTTCTCGAACTGCTCAAGTAATTCATTACTCGATCCTGTGTATAGTAGATCGTCGACGTAGACCGTGAGTAGAACGTGTTCGCCGCGGAAATCGCGGCGATACATGCCGGGATCGTGAGGCAGGTGCTTGAAGCCTATCTCGAGCAGGATGTTGTGCAGGTACTGCTGCCACAGCCTTGGTGCCTGTTTATGAGAAACTGAACGAGAATGAATTGACTAAGGGAAAGTTGGGTACAAATGTAAACCCTAGAAAACTGTACCCCATATGTGCTACCCCACTATAGCCTACAGTAGCTATGTCATATAAATCTGACACACCCCCATAGGCAAAGTGGGGGAGAACAAGGGGTCACAAGACCAGTCAAGCAAAGCAAAGCAAGCTCAGGGTGGATCACAAAGTCACCACACATTCCGAGCACAAGTTCAAGGCCACAAGGCCAGTTCACATGCAGGATTACATATATATATAAGGCTAGACAAGCAAGAGCAGGTGTATATATATATGCAACAGTACAAACAAGGTCAAGGGGTGAGCAAGTGAGGCAAGGTAGGCACAAGACCCAGCTGAGTACAGAAGCGCTGATGATCACAAGGCGCAAGTGCCTTGGTGAAGATATCAGCAGTGTTGGCCTGAGAGGCCACGTACGCAAGCCGCAGCTGACCACGTTGCTGTAGCTCACGAGCAAGGAAGTAGCGGAGAGCAATGTGCTTCGTTCTGTGCTCCAGTCTCTGCTCTCGACACAAGGCCAGCATGGCCTTGTTGTCTACGTACAGCACTGGAGGAGAACGAGGCGGCTCTCCGAGGTCAGTCAGCAGGTAGGTGAGCCAGCGAAGCTCCTGTGCAGCCATGGCCCCGGCGTAGATCTCAGCCTCACAACTGGAGCCGAGAACAGAAGACGAGCGGGTAGCCCGCCACGAAACAGAGCCGGAACCAAGGCTGAAGGTGTAACCCTGTGACGACCGCTGCGTAGCCTGGTCGTCAGCCCAAGAAGCGTCTGCGTGCCCAGTGAGGACCACTGGACTCTGCCCTCCAAGCACAAGCCCCATGCCCGACGTACTGCACAAGTAACGCAACACCCTCTTCGCTGCAGCCATGTGCTCCGGTCTGTGTCTCCCAGGAGCAACATAGCGTGCGAGAATGCTAAGAGGGTATGCGAGGTCAGGTCGTGTGCAGGTCATCAGGTACATGAGGCAGCCAACAAGCTCTGGGTACGGGCCACTCGACTCTACGGACTCATCCGAAGGCAGAGCTGAGAGCGAGTGGCGAGTAGGCAGAGGAGTGGCCTGAGGCGAGGAGTACGTGAAGCCGAAGCGCTGAAGGACCTGCTGCACCATGTGTGACTGAGTCAGGGTAATGGTGCGGCGTGCTCTGTCCCGGGTGATTTGCAAGCCAAGGTAGCTACGCAGTTCACCCAGGTCTGTGCACGTGTGTCTCTTCTGCAGCTCGGACTTCACGTGGGCGAGTCCAGCAGTGTCAGCTGTGGCAAAGACCAAGTCGTCGACGTACACGAGGATGTAGAACGGCGGCAAAGAAGTGTCGGTGCGTAGAAACAGCGACGGGTCGGCACTAGAGGGAGCAAACCCAAGAGCCGCAAGTGTAGTCCTCAGTGTGTCGTGCCACTCACGCGGTGCCTGGCGGAGACCGTAGACTGGTCGCCGGAGGCTCCACAGGGTGCCAGGAGGAAAAGACCCAGTGAAGCCAGGTGGGCGACGCAGCCAGATCTCCTCGTGCAGGCTGCCCTGCAAGAAAGCAGTGCTGAAGTCAAGAGAGTGCAGCTCGTAGTCGCGGTGAGCAGCTATGTGTAGCAGTACCCGAAGAGTGGTCATCTTCGGGGTGGGAGAGAAGGTCTGAAAGTAGTCAACTCCCTGCCGCTGACTGAAGCCACGAGCCACGTAACGCGCCTTGAAGACAGGCGGAGAACCCGGCGGTCGCTTCACCCTGAAAATCCACATGCCACTGACGATGTTCGCCTCAGGCGGGGGAACCTCGTCAACGTAGGTGCCTGTGGATTTCCAGGAAGCCATCTCTGTGTCCATAGCTGCCTGCCACTGAGAGGAGTAGGGACCCTCTATCGCCTCCTCGTAAGAGCGCGGAGTCGGGATGTCAAGTGCATCCGGGTCTCCCTCAGGGGTAAGCAGTACGGACACGAGATGAGGTGAAGCAGCAGCCAAACACTGGAACTCCTCCTGCCTGTCCTCAAGGACGTCCTTGCCAAGGGCACACTCACCCCCGACGGACGGAGGACAGACAGACTCAGACTCAACGACAAGACTAGCAGCGTAGTCTAGACGACAGCGAGCAGCAAAGTCGACGAGCTCAGCAACTAGGGCAGACGCAGCAGTGGACTCAAAGGAAGGGTCAGTGACGACAGTAGCAAGGAGACGCGTGACAGTAGGACTGGCAGCACGAAGAGAGTCCGACTCCGGGTCGGGAAGAGAAGGAAGAGAGGACTCAGGAGGAGAAGGCAAAGGGGCACGCAGAGGAGCAGTGGACGGACGCAGAGACATCCGGTGCGTGCCAGGGACAGGAGGAGGACGCTGACGCGAACCACGACCACTAGAGCGAGCAGGACGGACAGGCGACGCAGGGCGAGACGCAGGCTCACGACGCTCAGCCAGACCTCCAGTAGGACCAGTGTAGGGAGAAGGAGCGGGCAGTGGGGAGGCCGGCTGTAACTGTAACTGTGACGGGACAGGCTGTGGACACTCTAAGGGAGGAGGAGGACCAGTAGAAGGCGGGAGACCAAGAACCTGCTGAAGGAGCGGAACGAAGTACGGCCGAGGCCGCGCGGCGACTCCAGACACGGCAGGGACAGCACCAGTACCCCCAGCGGCAGCACCAGCGCCAGCAGCACCTCCAGCTCCAGTACCTCCAGCAGCACCA